CAAATGCAACAAAAGTCTAATTGAGTCGAGAGACAGATGGTTAAGACAAAGGCAATGTATTCCTCTCCCCCCACCCCAAGCATGGCTGCCTTACCAAGCAATGCTGCAAGCAAACGTGATCATTGGACTCCTGTGCAATTCTGATGGCTTCCTGGAGAGCAAGCTCAGCTTGCCGACTATCAACAAATCAAAGATAGAGCACATTAATAGTCTGTTAACAATGACAAGTAGTATTATGAAGTCTCAAACATATGCTGATCTAAAGGATACGTATCCCACTTAGAAGCGAACTCCAATTAAACAGTTCAGATGAGAGTATTTCCTCATATCTACTTTTTTGTTAGCCTCTACAGTTCATGAGAAATTAATTGTAACCCATTACTGGGCCTTAAAGCACATGTATATGTTCAAATATGCTCTGATATTATTCTGATGAGTGCCATATAAAATACCTGCCTAGGTAGAAAGTGTTTATACTCATAATCTTCCAGACCCACCTCCCATCACTACCAACTGTGATTTGTCCAATCAGGTGGCAATGTATGCAGGCCTAAATTACAAGTTTCTTTGTGGGGAGGGACCTCTCTCATGTAGATGTGCACGGTGTTCCACATACACAGCACTGCAAACAATAATACCCCCCTCTACCAAGAGGTTATTAAACAACAACAAAAAAAACCAACACCTGCAAAGTATACTCTCCAACTCATCTGATCATTATCATTGTGAGAGTAATAGGTTGGCAGCTACAGTTGCTCCTGAACATGTATCAGTTATAAGCAAGCACTCACACCTTCTGACCCCATGTGGTCGTGGGAGTGCAGCAGGTAAAGATCTAATTCCCTGGGAAACCGTTATAATTGGACATAAAAAGAACCTCAAATCTTAGTATATTCCAAATGGTTCAGCCAACAGGAGGACCAAAAGGATGTTAAAATCAAATCAAGATTCAAGGACGGTTATAATCACAGCCCATCTGTGCTTGCTCCCCAACTACAGAGTCCTCCTCCTCCTCTCCTTATGTAACATTCAGAAAACAATAGCAGCACAAGGTCTATCTGTTCAGTATAAGAGATGTAGCAACTTGTGTTTCTTAACTATGCAGCAAGATGTATTAACTTACTAATGGCCAAACCGACAATGCAGTGCAGCTAGATTAAGAGCAGCGTATCTCAGACTTCGGCCATAACCTTCATCTCCATTGCTTTTGCTTTCTGCTCCAGTGAGAATCAAACGGTCAAAATAGTGAAGGAGGCTGTGCGTTGAACTGAAGACATCTTGTACTCTAAGACTATTTAAGTAGCTTAAATAATGCTAAAATTTAAAGCAGAATCAGCTTTAATTAAAACAGAATTGGTAACACAATTTTTAGATTTTGTATCTTCTTACTGAGAAAGGTGGCAGTAGGATTGTCTATGAATGAGTGTGTGTTTAGCAGGAAACATCAATGCAAACTACACAATTTATACAGTTCAGAACTACTGGAATAAAGCTGACCATGTTTCCTTTATATCAAATGACCCTGCTCCAAAATGGAACAAGGAAAGGCTTGCTCATCACAGCTAATATTTTCAACATCTCCCCACCAGTCAGTGGTCCTGAGGCAAGATGTCTATCTACAAGGTATGAACCTACAGCTCTTACTCATGTGAGACTGCTCACATGGGTAAGGGCTACAGGATCAGGCCCAAAACATGTAGTACAGGCCTATGACTGACATTATTCTGTCAAACATTTCGCTTTCAGAATTCAGATTTTTTAATAACCAGACCTGAAATTAATAGCCAGTGTACACTCCATCTAGTACTGATCACTGGTACATTTCTTATATTCACAATGTTTAGGAGCGTAAACTGTTTCATGTTACGCACGACAACTTAATGTCAGAAAGACAAGTAAGTCTCAGGCCCCATTTCAAAAAGGAACTTAAACACATGCCTAACTTTTTGCCACTCAAGTCAATGGAACCTGTGCTTGAAGTTGGACACGTGTAAGTTCCTAACTGAATTATGCTCTCTGTGTCTTTAGAAGGAGTCCTATCCTAAAATACTATATTAACATACACAGAGATAATACAGATATGTACAAATGTTTTGTATTTCAGTGTACACTACAAATTATACAAAATAAACTGTATTTTAGAAATAAGAAGAACTGTCCCATGAGCATGTTGGGTTGAGGGGGAAAGACACTTACTGCTTCAGCAAAGTCTGGATTAAACTTCAGCAAATTGTTCAATTCCTTTTGTAAAAATGCTGGAGTAAGAGCTTTTGTCTCGTCATTCTTTAATAAAGAAGCCTAGAATAAAAGGGCAAATTGTTGTTAAGTAACTAGGAATGGAGTGGTAGAACATTATATAAATAGATGCTAGTCAATTTATTATCTGTATAGCTTCAATTACATAAAATTTCATAAGGGTTGTGTCTGCTATCATGTTTAAATATTGCAAATGGCGATTTTACTCTCAATTAAATTGTAGTACTCACATTTAGAGACCACAATCACTTTGACTAACATGGAAAAACCAGTTTAAGATAGAGATTTCTTCAAGTTTCTCTCTTTGGAGATTGATTATATTGGACTTCTGACTTAAATTTATACCTGACTGCTCACAAAAAAATTCAGGTAGCTACACAAAAACGATTCATTTATTTGCTTTGGGAAGAATACTGATAAATGGGAAACTCAAAAAAAAATTCCAGTTACTATAGTAATCATATGTGATCACAAGACTCCAAATCTCAGGAAAAATCACTGAACATTCCGATTTCTCTTGCTCCATAATATTGTCATTTTATTTGAAGAGGTGACTTCTATACACATGCATGATTACTATATAATGAATTAGTTAAAAATCAAGAATGAATGAAAATATACCACTATAGTTAAATTCATAAATTTATATAACAGCACAGCAGCAAGAGTGTACACAAAAATTGTACACTAGATGTAGATGTAGAATTAAAGAGACCAGTAGCATTTAACAATTAGAGACCTTCAAATGTATAAGAAGTACTTTATGCTATTGTATATATTTAATATTGCTACCATGCTCCAGAGGTCTGATTGTGCTGTGTGTGTGTTTAGTTTCTCTGCATATATTTACTTGCAGGAATGATCAATGAAACAGGAAATTTTAAACATATTTTGGAGAAACCAACTGGAAAGTATAAACTACAAATATTTCCATTGGAAACCTGATTCTGAAACACTCATTCCACGACTTATGTGTCTAGTTAAAACAGTTTGAATTTCAAGTACTCACAATGAATTATTCCCACACGAGATACAAACCGAGAACTATTCAACAAAATAATTTCTAATTCATCCAAGAAAGTGTGACGTTTGTTGATCATTCATAAAACACAGAGGTGAAATTTACATTATGAATTATTGCCCAGCGCTATTCAGAATTAACATACCTGCTGAGAAAGAAAATATTCTGCTTGCTTCTGGGAGAGAGGCCCACTACAAGATATTTCTTCTTCCCTGTTAAACAAACAATGGTTAGAAAATAAAAGCAGTGAAAAAGAATCAGAAGGCTACTGCTGTGTAGCTTATACTGTAGCTATAATAAAATAGGAACATTGGAGGGAGATACAAAAAATAATTACATTTTATCAGAGGCCACACACACACACACAATTTTAGTTTATAAAGTATTATGGTACATCATCAGTGCTCAACTGCAAGTGTGAAAAGTAACCAGGGGTACAGAGATTAAATTTGAATAAAAGAATAAAACCTGGCACATGGAAGCCACAATACAGTAGTCAGCCACACAATTATTAGGTTTTAATAGACAAAAACTAAATACAGTATACAAATATGTCTGAAGAAAAACAGACATACCACCTTGATGTCTCAACTGGTAAAGAGACCATGCCTGAATTTTAATCTTCAGTCAGCAGAGACTATGAGCAACGTGAGCAATGTTCATGATCTCCTCAAGGAAGCTGATCACAAATAGGATCATGGCACTGTGCACAGCAAGATTAGTTCCAAAAAGCAACTGCTTTGCTAGAAACAGAACTTTGTTCAATGGGAAAACAGAAAAATACAACAAAAAGAAAAACTCTGAGAACAATTAGATAGATTCCCTGCCTTCAGGAAAGCACAGAAAAGCTCAAGGACACAGAAAAGTCCAACTGCTGAAAACACAATGTGTATATGAAAACTACTTTTATTTAAAGATTACGTTGAAAAAAAAAGTCACTTTTACTACATCAAAATCTTCATTGTTAGCGTTAATAATAGTATTAAGAGGGGACATACAAAATCAGAAGTGCTAAGTGAAGGGAGAGAAAGTGGCACCGCCATCTTATACGGTGGTACTATACTTAATTGAAAATAGAATTATTGCAGATTTTAGAGTTGCAGTTCAGAAATGCTGCCACATGGTGGCACCAAAGAAACTGAGTGGCCATCTCAGCACAAAAATATATATAAAAAAAAGTTTATCTTGCTCTCTGCAAAAACTGACCATGACCCATCCTCTTCATATGAATTTGAATTCACCATTAATGAACGGTGCCATTGTAGAAAGATGAGAGTGCAGTATCGAATTCCCATCTACCTCCTTTTGTGCCATAATATAAAGCAAGCCACCTTACAATAAAAATAGTTGGAGCATTGTAGGATTCATACAAGGTTCAGGCACTCGGCAACATTTAGGGCACACCCGGAGTGTTGTGCAGGAGCTGTGCACACACAGCTCCTCTCAAGGGCACGAACCTTGGAATCTCGCCCAGATGACATGAACCGTGGGAAGCCTCCCAGGACTGGGCTCAAGGCCCGAGAGCAAGGAATGCAGTAGATAGAAATTGGTAAATAAGAATGTTAAACAAAGCCAGTGTATTCCTTTTATCTGTTGGAGAATGTAAGGCGCGGGGGGAGAGAAAAAGAATAAAGGAGAGGGTGGAAAGCTGACAGGCAGAAGTCCGTTGGCAGACCAGCTTGCTTGCTTGCTTAAAGCTTTGTGCTGTCTTGTCATTGAACCACAACAACTGGCGCCCAAACGTGGGGCCCTCAGCACTCACCTCGCCCGGCAAGGGTTTCAGACGCGTCACTCATCCGCTTCGCGGATCCCGGTGAGTATTTTTCGTCGTGGTAAGTATGGGAAGTTCCCTCTCTGCTTTGCAAGTGCAACACCGCAATGAGCTACAGTATTTGCTGCGTAAGGCTCAGCATGATTACCCCACTCAAGAACTCACTCTCCTGCTGCAGGAGGTGAGTGTCCAATGCCCGTGGTACCCTGAAGCCGGAACCCTTAAGCTAGTGGACTGGGAGCGGTTGGGCCAGACATTGCACAAAGAGCCTCGGGCGCCCGTGCAGGCTTTACATGCCTAGCACCTCTGCCGCGATGCGATACAGCGTGTCGCCTCGGACAGGCCCTCCCTCGCGAGGCTGGTGATCTCGCCACTCCCGTCCGCTCCTGCAGCCATCCCCCCTCCTGGCGATGCGACACAGTGTGTCGCCTCGGAAAGGCCCTCTCCCGCGCCAACAGAGGGGCTGCTGATGCCACCACCCCCGTCCGCTCCTGCAACCATCCCTCCCGCTGCTTCGCCCCCAGTGCCTCTATTACCACCGCCTCCCTTGCCTTCCCCACCGGAGCCGGTGTGTGATTACCATCCCCCCATGGGGCCCCATGCTCCAGGGCCCCCTGGGGGGTCGTCCGCGTCTGCTCAGGGGCTTTCGCTGGTGCAACAAATGGTTCACGCAGCGAAGACTCGCTCAGATATTACAGCAGAGAAGCTGGCTGATCTGGTCTCAGTTTGTCCGGTGACCTGGCAGGATGATGGCCAGGGCAACCAGGTTGCAAACTGGATCAGTTTGCCTTACTCGGTGATCAGAGAGGTAAAGAAAGCGATTCGTGACTTCAGTGAGACCACGTACATACGTGCTAGTCAGGCCGAAGGGCTAGGTACTGGGTACACCCTGATCCCTGAAGATTGGAAGGCGCTGTTGCGCATGATGCTGACGCCCAGTCAGTATGTTATTTGGCTTAGTGAGTATCGGCAGATGGCGGAACGCCAAGCCCGGGTATAGAGAGAGCAAGGTATCATTTATGAGCACTTGGCAGGGGAGGGCCAATTTGCTACCGTTCAGATGCAGTCTCAACTCCCTCAGGCCATCTTCCCCATTATTTCCACCTGCGCCCAGCATGCTTTCCGGAAGGTCCCGGATTCAGGCAAGCCTACCAAAAGCTTTGCCAGTATCCGTCAGGGTGCATCAGAGTCCTTTATGGATTTTACCAACAGATTGCAGGAGGCTATCCTCCGACAGGTGGATAGCCCTGCAGCAGCTCAGGAGATCCTGTTAAAAATGGCGGTTGAAAATGCGAATGAGGATTGCTGCCGTGCTCTCCAGGCGGCACAAGCCTCTGGAATTCTAGAGCTGTCAGACATGCTGCAGGCGTGTCAAAACATCGGCACACAAAGCTGGGGTTCTGGCCGCCACCTTGCAGAAAAAGCAGGAAGGAGGTGAAGCGTTGTTACCGCTGTGGAAAGGAGGGTCACTTTCAGCGGGAGAGCCGCTCATCGACGGCGCCCGCCCGCCCCTCAGAGAAGTGCCCCAACTGTCGGAAGGGCTATCACTGGGCTAATCAGTGTCGTAGCGGGTCGGGAAACCGCACGACGGGTCTCCCCCGAACCCAGGGCCAAACAGGGGTGTTTCCCACTCAGACAAGTGTTCCTCTGCCTTAAAATCCATAGATTCCATGAGGACGGCGACTGCCGGAAGTGCAGGGCTTGATTTGATTATGCAGGAGGACGCTGATTTTCAGTTGCCGGGGGAGGTTTGCGCCATACCTACACAAGTGACGGCACCTCTCCCTGCCGGATTTGTGGGTCTGGTTCTCCCTCGCTGGGAAACAGGGTTTTTTTTGTCATCCCAGGGGTCACTGATGCCGATTACACCGGCGTTATTAAGGTTCAGGTGTGGACCCATCTTCCGCAGTCGCTCCCGCATGGACGGTCAATTGCGCAATTGATTTTAGTCCCCTATCAAGTGCCAGCCGCAGAGGATCGAGCCCGGGGCAGGGACGGCTTTGCATCGATGTTGTCTCAGTTGCCGTCTCACAACACGTCCTCTCCACTTGTTGCTCTAACAATGTCGGTGCACCCCTCGAAACCTCAGTTAACACTTCTCTTAAATAATGTTCCTTTTACAGGGCTGGTGGACACTGGAGCTGACGTTACGGTGACTCGCGATCCGGAGTGGCCGGTCAGTTGGCCAACAGTTCCTTCTAAAGAGTTGTGGGGGATCGGGGGTAGCAAACCCGGGCGCCAAAGTTTGTCTTGGGTCACGGTCTCTAAACCGTGAGGCCGTGCCCTTGCTACAATCCGCTCTTTTGTACTCCCTGTCCACCTCAATATTTGGGGCCGTGACTTACTTGTAAATCTGGACACCACCCTTGATATTAATATATAATGGCCCAAAATCCTCCCTCACCCACCTTGCCATCCGCATTACCATTGGTATGGCAATCCTTAGAGCCCGTATGGATTGACCAGTGGCCCCTCCCCCTCGAAAAGCTGAAAGCACTTCATTCACTTGTACAACAACATATACATGCATAGCACTTGGAGAGCTTCACTAGTCCTTGGAACTAGCTGCTGTTATTTTGGCCTTTCAACTTTTTGCTGATTGTCCCTTTAATTTGATCGTGGACACACATTATGTTTATCAGGTAATTGATCATTTACCCCTTGCCCTCATCACCCCTCAGGTCGATGCGGACCTTCTTCGCCTGTTTTTGTCCTTACAGTATCTCCTCACCACTCATAATTTCCCTTATTTTGTTGCTCATATTCGCAGTCATACCCCTCTGCCTGGGCTACTCACTGAAGGCAATGCGCGCACTGATCGCGCGTTACGTGGTCAGGTAAATTCCCTTTTTTCTGACCCCATCAAAAGCCATTTCTTTTTTCATCAGTCTGCCTCTGTTTTGGCCCGGCAGTTTTACATTCCTGCTGATCATGCACGTTCTATTGTTTGTTCCTGCCCCCACTGTGCCACTGCTGCCCCTACCTTTTCTTATGCCGTTAACCCCAGAGGTACCGCAGCGAATCAGCTGTGGCAAATGGATGTCACTCACGTGCCACGATTCCGCCCCTATTCATTTTTACATGTTTCCATTGATACCTATTCGGGATTCCTCTGGGTGACCCCACAGCGTGGGGAAGCCACTCCCAAAGTTATTCACCATTTGCTAGCCTGTTTTGCTGTTATGGGTCGCCCGAGCCAGATAAAAACGGATAATGCCCCAGCCTATTGCTCCACAGCCCTCTCCACCTTTTGTGCCCAATGGGACGTCCGTCTCAAACACGGGATCCCTTATAATTCCACAGGCCAAGCTATTGTTGAACGTGCAAATTGCACGCTAAAAACCTTGCTCAACAAACAATTAAAACAAGGGGAGCTGCGTCTCCGAACCTTAGGAGACATTCAGCAACAAATGCATATCCTTTTGTTTACTTTAAATAATTTAATGCTGAACGCAGCTCAGCAGACCCCCACGGATTGGCATTTTCATAAGTCCAAGGTACTGGAAAGACCGCGTGTCTATTACCGTCAGCTGCCCGATCCGCAATGGTTGGGCCCAGTACCTTTAATCACTTGGGGTCAGGGATATGCTGCTGTGTCTCTCCCTGCAGGACCGTTGTGGGTTCCGGCCTGGTGTGTGTGACCGGCACTGAAACAGCATGGCGTGGCACCAGGGGCTATCGAACCCCATACCGGAGTTTCAGCTTACCTTGGAGGAGAATCCGGTGCCTCCCAGGTCGACAACGGCGGGACGGAAACGGAGGAGGCATAGCGTCCCAAGCCAGCCCGTGACTTGGGGAGCAGTAAAAGCATTGGTCTCCGCAGCTCAACGAAGACTGGCAGCAAACCAACAGCCAGAGACTCCTGAGACTTTGCTTGTGGCAATTCTCGCCCAAATTACTGCTAATTCTGTATTGATTGTATGCCTTTTGTGTCTGCTATTTCCTGTAGGGGTTGGCTTGGGAGCGCTTCCTCCGTTACGGGCCCGAATGACATATAACCTATGGGAAAGGTTGGCTTCAATAGCAAATGTTACCCACTTTTGTTTATCTGATTTTGTAGCAGCTGAAGAATTGTTAGGTACGTGCCTTATTCCAGTATGTCATCACCCTGAGGAAATTGGGAATGAGATGATGCTCGCTGCTTATGCGAACCTCTCTTCCCAGTACTCTAGCATGGCTAATTGGGGCCCGGCCAATTACACTTTACCTTCTTAAGCTTATTTTTTGCTGTTGCTGTGTGCAATGTATTTCCTTTTTGTTAAGGCTTTGTCGAGACCCGCCCTGGCAGGCTCCACGAGTTATGACCTCGTCTGTCTGGGAGTTAATTGGCTTGCAAAAGCAAATTGATGGCTATCATGAGATGGCCGAGCACAAATAAACAAAAAAGGAGGGGATGTAGGATTCATACAAGGTTCAGGCACTCGGCAACATTCAGGGCACACCCAGAGTGTTGTGCAGGAGCTGTGCACACACAGCTCCTCTCAAGGGCATGAACCTTGGAATCTCGCCCAGATGACATGAACCGTGAGAAGCCTCCCAGGACTGGGCTCAAGGCCCGAGAGCAAGGAATGCGGTAGATAGAAATTGGTAAATAAGAATATTAAACAAAGCCAGTGTATTCCTTTTATCTGTTGGAGAATGTAATGCGCGGGGGGAGAGAAAAAGAATAAAGGAGAGGGTGGAAAGCTGACAGGCAGAAGTCCGTTGGCAGACCAGCTTGCTTAGAGCTTTGTGCTGTCTTGTCATTGAACCGCAAAAGGAGCATGAGATGTTCCATCCAGGTTAACTATTCCATAGGGTTTTTGGAGATGGCTGAGGTTAGCTTCTAAGAATGATGAAGGGGGGGTTGGTTTTTCTAGTTTTGTTTTTTTAAGGTGGCTGGCTGAGTTCCTATTTCATCTATCATTTTAATGCTGCTGGGAGTTATGTTGTACTACTAATTATATGTTAGAGCACCTAGAACCTTGTATAAGTGTTTTTTTATTATTTTAATCTAAATAAATAAAAACATAGTAATTGAAAATTGCTTTCTGGAACCTGTAGTCTATATAGGCTACGCCTCCACACTGAAGATCAAAGCAGTTACAATCTGCTCTACTACCCGAGTTAGAATCCCAAAGGCTGTGCCTGCTTAGTTACCTGTGATAAACACACGCATAAGGTTTATCGTGACATTAACAAAAGGTAGGATACTTCTTTAATGTGAGTGTGGCCTTCGGTTGGACAAAGTTTTGAATCCCTGTTTTGACATGTAAAGAGGAATTTTTAATACAATTAGTGTGGAAGACTCTCTAGAAAGTGGAAAGACTTTACGGAAATCATTAAAAATTACCTTAGAGGTACATCGAGTTCTTCTTTTTCCATTTTCCCTTCGAGTTCTTCAGTATTTGTCAGCTCCATATCGGTCTCATCAATTCCAGCTTTTTTCTCATCATTCTGATAGTACTGTTGAAGTGCAGTGTAAAGTTTATAGACCTGACTGAAAGAAAGCTTGTTGTATGCCAAGATCATGTGGCGCAGAAATAAACCTATACAAGGAAAATATGTTACATTTGAACACAGAGAAAGATAGCTAGTTGTGATGCCTAGTAGTTTTAGATCAGAGACTGAAAGTCAGTATTCCTGGTTCCAGCACTAACTGGGAGTGTCAACTTGCATTTCACTTCACCTCAGTATACCAATCTATAAAAGTGGCCCAATAATTCTCACTGCCTCTCAGGTGCATTGTCAAGCTTACCGTAGGGCCCAATTCCACAGGTAATCTGATCACAGAACTCCTATTAAGACCAATAAGAACCGCTAATGGTGTTGCAATGTGAAACATTTTTGAACAGATGCATTCTTTGTATACAGTTTTATTAAAAGCCTGAGTATTTGTCCTAAGTGGTGTGCTTGTAATTGTTTTTCAAATATAAAAAGAAAATCTGTATTATGAATGGATTTCCAGGACAAAAGTGAAAGAATATAAAATACTTACCTACTACACTTGTTTTGTGAACTTCTGGTTCTGTCCCAGTAAATGAATCTGAAAGGTCATCAAAAAATTGTTCCATGTCTTTCAACTCCCCTTCTGCCATCAGTTTTATCCTAAACAGGAAAAGAAGTTTATAGAAATGTTCCCTTCCAATCCTGACCACCAAAATAAATCTCACATGAAAAAAAACTTCCTTATTTCAGGTGTTGGAAGAATGAGACACAAACCTAAATGGAACCAAATGGTTATTAGTTCACTTATACCAAAAGTGTTTCTAAATTTTTGAACATCTGGAAAAATGATCACTGATCACTTTAAAAAAAGAAATTGCATGTGATTTCTTTTTTACGTGGAAAGGAGAACTGTACAATGCACCAAATCACAACATGTTAAATCATCAAAAGCATAGGTTGAGTGGTAGTTACTGTAAGGAAAAAATACGCTGTATGCTACACTTCCTTTCTGTCTTTTTTTTCCTTTCTAGTTTCCAAGGAAATACATTCTCTAAAAATCAACTAAGTTTAAAATATCTGTTACGTTTCTGTTACCAAACTTTAAAGAAAGTGATTAAATCAATCATATAAAATCACAGATGCTAATAAAAAGGAAAAGCAATTAGATGACATGGCCCCATCTCTCTGGGGAAACAGGATACAGTCCCCAGCCAAAGGATAAATCAAATAAGTTACCTTATTTGCACAGAATTTGCTAAATTAGGACAGGATTCTTCAATAGCCTTATGCAATCGTGACAATGTCATATCAGGACCCTATACAAAATAATAAATCAACTTTAGAAATCCAAACAGTCAATTTGGACCCAGAAAAAACAGCAGCTTTGCATCACTATACATGTTAATGGCTGTTATAAAAAGGGCTGTGATCAATTTTCTCCATGTCTACTGGAGACAGGACAAGTAGTAATGGCTTAATCTACAGCAAGAGAGATAAAGATTAGGAAAAGCTTTCCACCTATAAGAACATCTGGAAAATAGTTACGCTCTAGAATAGACTTCCAAGGGAGGCTGTGGAATACCAGGTTTCAGAGTAACAGCCGTGTTAGTCTGTATTCGCAAAAAGAAAAGGAGGACTTGTGGCACCTTAGAGACTAACCAATTTATTTGAGCATAAGCTTTCGTGAGCTACAGCTCACTTCATTGGACGCATACTGTGGAAACTGCAGAAGACATTATATACACAAAGACCATGAAACAATACCTCCTCCCATCCCACTCTCCTGCTGGTAATAGCCCATCCAAAGTGACCACTCTCTTTACAGTGTGTATGATAATCAAGGTGGGCCATTTCCAGCACAAATCCCGGTTTTCTCACCCCCCACCCCTCTCCAAAAACCACACACACAAACTCACATCCGATGAAGTGAAATGTAGCTCACGAAAGCTTATGCTTAAATAAATTGGTTAGTCTCTAAGGTGCCACAAGTACTCCTTTTCTTTTTACCATTATAATGCTGGAGGGAAAGCGGGGTTTAGGGTGGAGGCTGACAGCTCGCAAACCCCCCATGTAATAACCTCGTGACCCCCGAGGGGTCCCAACTGCCAGTTTGAGAAACCCTGGTCTAGGTTTACTTGGTCCAGCCTCAGCACAGGGGGCTGGACTTGATAACTCCTATGATTCCATAATATCACAAAAACATAACAGCCCAGGCACAAAAATTCTTAGCCACCCTTATTACAGTAGCAGCATTCCTCTTGCCCAGTACCAAACGCACGCTTGCCCAGGTGAGGCGCAGGGAGGACTCTCTTCTGCAGCAGAATCCCCAACCCCAGCCCTTATTGGGGGCAGCCCCTCTCCACCCTCCCTTGCCTGGGGGCACCCACCTTCCCTTAGATCCGTGAGGAAGATCCATGCTCTAGAAACACTTGCTGCCTCTTTCTCCCGCGGCCCCCGCACTGGGGATGTCCAAACGCTCCCCAGGCAGCCCCTATTACCTGGAGGCAGCCCAACCCTTTCCACCTGGGGAAGACCCCGTCCCAGCCCTACAGCTCCTTCCCCTCCCCGCGCCTGCCCCCTCCTCAGGCGGCCCATTGCCCCCCCGACCTGCAGCAACGGCAGCAGCAGCCGGTTGAGGCGCCGCCTCTCCAGCAGGCTGAGCTGGGCCCCGGCCCGGCCCAGCTCGCTGAGCAGCACCAGCAGCGCCATCTTGTAGGGGGTGACGCAGTCCTTGATGCCGAACACGTTGGCGTGCACCACCCCGTTGGTCATCATAGGGTTGAAGTAGAGACTCTCGTGCACGCTGGCCATGGCCGAGCCGGGCGAGGGGGGCCCAGGCGGCCGCTGCTACCACAGCCCGAGGCTTCAAGAGCCTCCACCAACTCGCCAGGCCGCCATCCCCATCTCCCGGGCAACCACCGTCCCCCAAAACAGCCAATCGTAGGAGCCGCTCGCAGTCACGTGAGCTCGCAAACAGCCAACCAGAGCCAGGGAGCGAAGCGAGACGAAGCGGCGGTGGCAGGGTGCAGGGCGGCGCAGGGCCGGCGGGAAACCTGAGCCCGGCCCTGGCGAGAGACTTAATGCGGGGGCGGGAGTATGGCGGGAGCGGCGCTGAGGGGGAGACACAGATGGGGGGGGGGGTGTCGGTGAGATCGGGGGGCCCGGGAGAGAGATTGGGGCGGGGCATTGGAAGGGGGGGAAACACGAGTGGGGACCTGATGGAGGGAGACACTTGGGGGCGCGCTGGGCGGAGTGGGGGGACACTTGCAGGAGGGGGGCACTTGGGGGAGCCCTGAGTGGAGAGGGGAATATCTGCGTGAGGGGAGTGTCGGGCAGAGGGGGGCACTCTGGGAGGGGAGACACTTGGGAGGAGTGCTGGGGGGTCTGGGCAGGTGGAGGGATTGGGGACCTTTTCTCCACATACATCGTTCTCTTTTTTTGTGTCTCCTAAGAAACCAGACTGCCTGGTCGAGGGAGCTTCTTTGTGACAAAAAAGCCAATGAAATATATATATGTGTGTGTTGGGGGGAATTATACCACTTCAAGGCTGCCTTCCAGAGGTGTAGAGGCAATGTACCACTTTTCCTCATTATGGCTAGTGTACCAGGATAAGGGACTGAGGAAAAACTGGGCTTACTCTGTGCCTTGCCTCTTCTGGGTTGTAGTTTTGGACCTTTGGGGCTCTGCCTATCCAAAGTATGTTCGGACAACTGCCCTTGAACAGAGCTAGCTGTTCACAAGCATCCTGATCTCCACTGTAGATCAGCTGCACAACAGGATCTGGCTCAACAGTATGTGGACAATTGAGTATTTTAGCCTACACAGTAGAATCTCAATGTTTATTATCATCAGTTATATGAACTGTTATATGCCACCAGTTATATGAACCATTTTTCCCAAAGGAAAAAGAAAATCACATAACAAAGGTGATGTCAATGACAAATAAGTCCACATTCCTTCACATTCTCTTGCCTTCAGTGCACTGGAAATAGCTTTGCAGTGGTTTGAAGGACAAGAATGCAGTACACCATACTGTAACATATACACCATGCCTACTGTAATTCTGAGATGTTAAATTTTATGAACTTTTTGATTTTATGTACTCGATTAATTCTTAAAATAGGGGTTCTACTGTATTGAAGTTTTTCATTGTTTGGTACAACTTGAGAATTATTTTGTTTTAACCTTGTTAAATATGAAACTATCTGTATTTCTGAAAAAGAAAAAAGGTAAAATATAAACTAGGTCTGTCCATTAATCACAGTTAACTCACACAATTAACTCAAAAAATTAACTGCGATTAAAAAAATTAATCATGATTAATCGCACTGTTAAACAATAGAATACCAATTGAAATTTATTTAATATTTTAATATTAATACATTTTCAAATATATTGATTTCTATTACAACACAGAATCCAAAGTGTACGGTGCTCACTTTATATTATTTTTATTAAAAATATTTGTACTGTAAAAATAATAAAAGAAATAGTATTTTTCAATTCACCTCGTACAACGACTGTAGTGCAATGTCTATCGTGAAAGTGTAACTTACAAATGTAGATTTTTGTTGTTGTTACATAACTGCACTCAAAAACAAAACAATGTAAAACTTTAGAGCTACAGGTCCACTCAGTCCTACTTCAGCCCGTCGGTCAAACAAGTTTGGTTACATTTGCAGGAGACAATGCTGCCCGCTTCTTGTTTAGAGTGTCACCTGAATGTGAGAACAGGCGTTCACATGGCACTTTTATAGCCGGCATTGCAAGGTATTTACATGCCAGATATGCTAAACATTTGTATGCCCCTTCATGCTTCAGCCACCATTCCGGAGGACATGCTTCCATGCTGATTACGCTTGTTAAAAAAATAGTGTTAATTAAATTTGTGACTGAACTCGTTGGGGGAGAATTGTATGTCCCCTGCTCCGTTTTACCCGCATTCTGCCATATATTCATGTTACAGCAGTCTTGGATGATGACGCAGCACATGTTGTTTGAATTATGAACTGTCACTGCAGATTTCACAAAATGCAAAGAAGGTACCAATGTGAGATTTCTAAAGATAGGTACAGCACTCGGGCCAAGGTTTAAGAATCTGAAGTGCCGTCCAGAATCCAAGGTGTGGAGCTTGCTTTCAGAAGTCTGAAAAGAGCAACACTCCGATGCGGAAACTACAGAACCTGACCCACCAAAAAAGAAAATCAACCTTCTGCTGGTGGCATCTGACTCAGATGATGAAAATGAACATGCATTGGTCCACTCCTCTTTAGATCGTTATCAAGCAGAACTCATCATCAACATGGATGCATGTCTTCTGGAATTGTGGTTGAAGCATGAAGGGACATATGAATCTTTAGTGCATCTGGCACATAAATATCTTGCGATGCTGGTTACAACAGTGCCATGAGAACGCCTGTTCTCACTTTCAGGTGACATTGTAAACAAGAAGCGGGCAGCATTATCTCCTGCAAATGTAACCAAACTTGTTTGAGCGACGGGCTGAAGAAAGACTGAGTGGACCTGTAGGCTCTAAAGTTTTACATTGTTTTATTTTTGAATGCAGTTATTTTTTTGTACATAATTCGACATTTGTAAGTTCAACTTTCATGATAAAGAGATTGCACAACAGTACTTATATTACATGAATTCAAAATACTATTTATTTTGTTTTTTACAGAGCAAATATTTGTAATAAAAATAAATGTAAACTGAGCACTGTACACTTTATTCTGTGTTGTAATTGAAATCAATATATTTGGAAATGTAGAAAACTTCCAAAAATATTTAAATAAATGATATTCTATTATTGTTTAACAGTGCGATTTATTGCAATTTTTTTTAATCGCTTGACAGCCCTAATATAAACCCCAAGAGCATTTAAAATGTAACACAGTAATTCTGCACTTGACCCCCATGTGGTATATATAGTACATTCTCTTTCAAATAGTTTAATACTTTCTGAATATGTCATTATGAATTAATTATGACATCATTAAGACATTAGGAACAGGGTGAGTAGATCAGTGATCTTGCATATGCCACTGCACATACTGTGCATACTAAATATAGAGTTTTATCATTACTAAAGCTTATAATATATTATTATACAATGGTTCACCAACAGCCAAATATTTACAGTGATTATTCCGCTCCCTCAACAGATGGGAAGGCAGCAGTGTTACAGAATTTATGCATTACCTGCTGTCTCTGTCAGCATCATACTATCTAATTCTTGGAAAATTACAAACTATAACTCTACTTGTTTTGCCATTGTAGGTAACATGTTAGGGAAAACAGATGATTGCTTTGATAGCTTTAAAGCTATCATGAATAACTCATCAAAGAATGAGAACTAGGATTACTAACTATGCATAAACAAAGAAAGCAGTCTTTCTTGGCACTAGATGTGTATTGACTTTGAGAGGATCAGTGGAGTCTCAGTACCCAATCGATAAAGAAAATGAGAGTTAATTGAGCTGCTTGAAGAGCTTGATCTGTGTTCCGACCAGCATTTCTGAATATTCCAGACACAAACTAGGACTCCAGTCTTCAAAGGCACATGAAATGAACCTAGCCCCTCCATTGCAAGGAAATTAGTATGTTAACTAATGGTGTGATGATATATATTTATTTGGAATGCGTGCATAGAGTCTGTAAAGATTTCTTAAAATGTGCTAGTTACTATATGATTGTATACAGTGTGTAATGTTTCCAAAGAGAAGACACCATTGGCAGATCTCTTTACAGATCTGTACTGTGCTTCATTTCTTTCAGGAATGTGTATTGATGAAAAATTGGGGATTAAACCTTCCAAAAGACTTAAGTAATGGGTTTATGGGCTAAATTTAATGTTCTTACTCTTAGCACCCTCTTCCCTAGTTGTTTTACCTGTCCTGGAGGTAAAGCTGGTAGTTTGAATCCTCTGCCTCTGGATATAGCAGTAAATTGTCACTGAAAATAGTCTTGTCAGAACTGAGCCTTGTGATATTTTTGACAGCCAAACAAACTGAAAACATATCATGGCTTTTGCTATAAGGATGTTCAAATTCTGTAATGAATTTTTATGCATTTACAACGGATGTTTGATCTAATGCATGAATGTTTTTGGATGGACTGGACAGAGACTGTTAAACAGCAGGATTGGAATTGTCAGAGGAACCTAAAGAGAGTTAGGAACCCAGCTCCCATTGGAATTTAATGGGATTCGTGTACTTGATGTCAGGCATCTTTGTAGCCTAATTTTTAAAGATCAGCATGTTAACAGAATGCATAGGTACTGCATTTGGCCATCAGATTGGCACTTAAGCACATAAAGTGGTATTTATATATTGAAACATCAGTCACAGGATTTGGACTGATAACAAATATTTTGAAGGTCTTTTGAAGGTGTTCACATTTGAACATTAGTTACAGGAGAAAACAATTATCAACTGTATGAGAAGACTGAAAACAAAATTTAACAGTTCCTTAGGTCAGCGGTTCTCAAACTGTGGGTCGCGACCCTGTTTTAATAGGGTTGCCAGAGCTGGTGTTAGACTTGCTGGGGCCGAAGCAGAAGCCTGAGCCCTACCGCCCAGGGCTGAAGCAGAAGCCCGAGGGCTTCAGCCCTACGTGGCGGGGCTCAGGTTACAGGCCCCCGGCCTGGGGCTGAAGTCCTTGGGCTTCGTCTTTGGGGCCCCTCGTGGTGGGCTTTGCTTTTGGTCCCCTCACCTGGGGTGGTGGGGCTCAGGTGGGCTCAGGCTTTGGTCCCCCCTCCTGGGGTCATGTAGTAATTTTTGTTGTCAGAAGGGGTCGCAGTGCAATGACGTTTGGGAACTCCTGTCTTGGATGAACTGATGTGGGTAAAATTCCATGTAAGAAAGTGTCGGGCTTTTCAGCATTAAAGAGCTGATCATCTCAACAAATCACTTTTTAGAAATAATGTAGCAACTATAAATGGCCTTGTACCAAATAAGCAATTAGATTGGAGAAAGTCTGTAATCTCCTGTCTTATTTTATGTTCTCATAATAATATGACCAGTGCACTTAATTTAGCAGATGTTCTAGCAGATTTGACGTATCATTTGTGACACCTAAAATACCCTGCATGAACATTTGAAAGGATATAAAGAAGGTTTTATAGATTCTTTTATTCGTTCTGGCCATTCAGCTTTGGAAGAGCTATTGTACTTTGGGGAAGGTACTTCTCAAGTCAAAGAGGGATATGAGATTCAAGTGAGTGGCATATTTCCTCAGTGATGGTATAATATATATTTAATGTTTCTTTTTAGCATGAATTCACTTCAGCACTGTTGACTGGATTCTAATCTAACACCAATTTTACATCAGTGTAATTCTGTTGATGTAAATGGAGTTACTCCTGATTTACACAATTGTAAAAGAGAGCAGAACCAGTATTTTATTTAGTCTGTCTCGTGTTCAGCAAATTGTCTCATATTTTGTATGGAGCTCAGAGATTTTACTGATGGGTGCTTATAGTGGGTCAGATTTTGGATTTACACTGATGCAAACTAATATAAAAGTATCTCCATTGGCTACAATGGACTATCTTTAGATTTATGGCAGTGTAACTATGGTAAGAATATGGGCCATAAACTGAAAAATAAATTGTTAAGAAATTGCACAGGTATAAGGAGGGCGCATAAGGAAAACTGATCATAGCCCTTATTTTAAATGTATACATTAATTGCCTAAAATGCTGCAGCATCTCTACTGTAAGATTTCTGAACTATATTGGTTTTGCATTAGTATGTCTCTGTTAACTCCAGTTGAGTTATTCCTGAATTAAGCCTGTAGAGTTTTTTAGAATTATCGTAGAATACTCAAACTATTTTTATAAGGCAATTTAGTGTTTCATAGTTGGTCATCATTAGAAAAATTAACAAGAGTTGACTAACACTGATGAAGTTAGAGGTTTATCTAAATATAATGGTCAGTTGAACTGTGGATATAAAAGCTAAAACTTTGAAAGGATTGGTTGAAAATAAAATACATTGCCTTGGCTAGAAAGTATGGGAACAGTGAGGGGGTGTTCCAGACATGGGTCAGGGATTAAAGAATGGGGTCAGGAAGTAACTAGGAGATAGGTTGCACAAACCAAGATGGGGGAAAAAGGAAACTACATAGATCTGGTCAAAGTTTGCATAGGCTGCGAAGTTTGCATTGGATGCTTATCCAAATCAAATCTCCCAATTATATTGATGACATTTCAGCATGTTTTGTGGAGAGCTCTCAAAATTCACTATTAGTTAAATGTAGATCTAGGGCAGATTTCCTCATTTTCTCTTCTCCTTCCTTTCCTATTATCCCATCCTTAAAAGATTTTAAATGATTCTTTTTTTTTTCTTTTGTGTTTACTATTACCAACCAGCTGGTGTCTTAGTCTGCTGAGTCAGCCCTTTCTGAAGTTGCCCCTTTCTCTCAGTGATTGTTTGGATATGCTGCTTTTGCTGGCACTGGCTCAGGAAATCGGAGAATCAATGGAACAGAGGTAGTGTCATCAACCGAAATAAGAGAATTTTGGGGAAAAAATGGTAAGTTCCAAACTTGCACCCGTATATGGAGTCAGAAAATCAACTCTAATGATAAACCAGATAGGCATTAATTTCCACTCTGTGTTCTACAAAAATCAAATGGAGGGACATTAAGTACAATTGTGGATGAGGATTGTACTTGCAGATCTTAGCGTCCAACTGCCAGTATTAAATATTAGCAGAATCTAAAAATTTATCAAAGATGAAACTGCTAGCTTTAAATAGGAAAAAGTTTTAGGACACCCTGGGAAATGCCTAAGAATTATTTATATGCTCATTAAAGGAATCACCTTTTGTTTACTAGAATAAACTGTAAGAATTTAGTCAGCTGGTATATAATGAAGTTTCAGTTAATAAGACATTTCTAAGGTTCCTGGTGCATACCTTAAAAGAAGTAAAAGGCAGCGAAAATGTAGGTCTTGCGGTCATCTTTGCCAGCATGAACTGTTAAATGAAATAAAAGGAAATACTGTATTATGATTACTTAGGAGTCATTAGGATTTATAAAGCAATCACCAAGACCCTATGAACTATCATTAATGCTAAATGATTCTTGTTATCCAACTATGTGTCCTAGATCCTCGTTATTTTGTCTGTTCCACATACATCTAATAATTTTCAGAAAGATGTGCACTGTACAAATTTAATTAACCTTTGGACATTGAAGTAACACCAGTGTGTCTATTTTTTTTTATCAGGTCTCTTGGAAGAGGTTTTAAGCCAACCTTTTCTTGTCATTTATAGATTATGGTACTTTTATCAAGAGTGGACGTTAACCCCAGTGTCCTGGCGAAATTCCAATTTCATTAATTACATTTTGCTAATAATAATAATTCCTTGTTCAGTTAAATTGGATATCACAAGAATTTTAAACTGGGTATTCAAAAACTGAGGCATGCAAAGTCATTGGCCACTTTTGAAAATTTGGTTTTTGGCCTGTGGGCCAAATTTAGTTCTTTCATGGACTTCAATGGAGGTGCAGTCACATCCATTTACACTGGTGCTGAATTTCCCCTCTGGAAAATGGATGTGTTTTACAAATAGGAATAAATCAGGGCACAACCCTGTTCCCATTGAAATAATTGGCAAAACACAGCAGCTTCAATGGGAGCAGTCTTGGGCCCTTAAACCTCACAAGGATGGTGGGAGTTTTAATGAATGTTGTAAAATGCCATATCGTTGTGTGGTATTGTTATTTATCTATGGTTAAAAGAAATACAGGTCTGAGCTGTTTCATATGAATGTCCTTTACTTAACATACTCACATTTTCCCTCAAATCTTTAACTTTTGAAGCTGAAGAGCTATCACAAAGTCTCTGTTCTTTGAAGTTGTTTCTTTTCAGGTCATCTTTGCAGAGAGTATCTTCAGTGCTGAGTGTTGGTAGAAAAAAATGTATTTCTTGATAGTTTTCATTCTTTTATTTGGTTTCCTATGCTTGGCATCCTGAGCACCTTAATATAATTTTAAAAGGATTTTGAATGAACAAAAATAGCATCTTCCAGGCTAGGGAGCATGATACAGTAATCTTGTTAGCTCTTACAGTGCAGGAGAGCAGGAAATAGAAACCCTCAGTGGAAATGCTCTCTAGAGGGAGCAACTCCACTAAGAACATAAAAGTTAAAAATAAGATCTGGGTCTGAAGAGCAATTCTGCATTTGATATACAGTTGATAAAATAATTAAATGGGCAAAGGTCTCTTAACTTGAATAATTATCCATTTGCTTTTCAGTTTATAAAGGGGATTGATTCATGAGTTACGTTAATTAAGAGTTTTAATTATCTTTACTTCCACAAAAAGTACGTCATACCAAACATGCACGGACCTTTGTTTCACTATTTGTTACAGTCAGAGCTCCAAATATCAGCAAGATCTAGTCCCAGTTTTTAAGGGCTGCCTCTTAATTTTCTCAGCTATAACGTATGCCGTCCTGGTACATCTGCTGAGATCCTATAATGCAAAGAGAGCAACATACAAATAATTCCTTCAAATAGACCTTGGACATCATATAGCTTTTTCAGGATTCGAGGACAGGCAACCTCTCCTGAAGCAGCAGTGCTGTTCTACAATGAATAACTAGGGTACTAAAGCTTAACGCATTATGCACTCTTCTCTAGATGATCAGAATATCGTACGTATCAAAGAGAATGCCTCTCTCGTGTTTCTTTCTCTCCCTCTAACTGACCTAAGTTATATCTAATGTGTCCATTAATGTGATATTTAGGTAGTATCTGTTACACGGCAATTGAAATAAATTTAGACCCTAGTATATATTTGTCTCAGTGCTGGGGATGGAATATTCCCAATAAAAGGCCCTTGACTGTGGAACTAAGGTCCAGATCCTCAAATCCTAACATCAATGGGAGTTAGATGCCTAAATACCTTTGAGGATCTGGGCCTAACTCCCTTCCTCAGTCAGACAGAGCCAAAGTTTGCTCTCTCTTCTTACGTCTCCATCACCATAGAATCTGAGCACTTCACAAACATTAATGGATGTGTTGACCAGACTTTCAGGGCACTCTGCAAGACCTATTTTCCCAAGTTTGTTTTGAGGGAGTAGGTTGAGCAGGATAAGCCTTGTCTAAGTTTGGATAGACACTTTTTATAAATAAGCAAATACCTGAGCCACTGACAGCACCCTCAAACTGAAAAAGACAAAGGTTTCCTTGAAATGCTGCAGGTTCTTCCAAATTGAAACTTCTTCAATTTTGCACATAGTTTACGGATGTAAATATTAAGGGACAGGAAATAAAGTCAGAAATAGAATGCATGAGTAAGATGTATACAGAGTATTCAGTCATTTACCATTTCCTCTTTTAATAGTGGAGCCATTTCAAAATGTAAATTCTCATCTTTTTTCCAGACTCTATTCCAGACACTTGAGTTTATTACAGAAACACTGCAATGAGGTTGTGAATCTGGTCTTCATTTTCCAGCCCAAATTACCTTGAGAACATAAATTACATGTTTTACTAATTTTATTTTTCTTCAGAAAAAGTGTTAAGTAGGAAATTAAGTAGGAAAGCATCTTGCCAATGGTATTACACAAGTGAATAGCAGTGATTAAATAAGTGATGAAAATAGCTTAACCAAGAAGAGCTTTCAGCTACAAGCAATGCTTATGTGTCATTGGAGCCAGGAGCACCAAAATATACTAACACAGTCTGCAAGGAGAAGGGTGGGGTTTTTTTTACTGTTACTTATCCATTCTCCTGTAATATTATGAATGTAACCACAATAATATTGGCCTAATGCACGAGAACTGGTCTGTTTTCATTATCTTATCTGTATTTAAAAAAAAAAAAAGTCCTCAATCAGCATAAATAGTAAAAAGTTGAATTAATGTTTTAAAATTCTTTTGTTATTTTTAATAATTTAAGATGATTTTAGGAACGGGGTGACTTTTTAAAACAATGGGTGAATTTTATGTCTAAGGTGATTGGCTTCACCTTCTAGGCTCCACGTAATTGTGTCCCCTTTGCTGTTTTACTCTCACTTCCTTCCTACTGTTTTTCTTGCTTCCTATACTTCTCCCAGTATACTTCCTATACTCTTTCTCCTACTCCTACTTTTTCATGCTTTCCCACCTTTCTCTTCTTGGGCTTTTATATGCACAGAAAATGTACCGTTTTTTTACAGTCCTACTAGTATAGGTGGAGTTATTTTGTTAAAGGTGGCCGTAAGAGGCATAAGCTGTACCTATATAAACAACCTTCATAGTGATAAAACTGTGTCCATGGTAGGGGTTATACCAATTTAACTATTTTAGTAAAAAAGACCACACCTCTAATCAAAATAGTTAAATTGATACAAAAGCTGGGTGTAGATCGGCCCTAGGCCACGTCTACACTATAGCGCACCGCTGTGGTGCTGCAACTGTGCCCCTGGAGCACCACAGTGTCGATGCTTCCTAAATTGACGGAAAGGGTTTTTCCATTGATGTAGTTAATCTACCTCTCCAGGAGGCGGTAAAATAATTATGTTGAGCTACCTGTGTCTACAGCAGCGGCTAGGCTGACTTAACTTTGGTGCTCAGGGTATGAAATTTTTCACAGCCCTGAGCAATGTAGCTAGGATGATGTAATTTTTAAGTGTAGCCCAGGCCTTACTAGATTAGAGAAGGCCTTAGTGAGCATTAAGAGAGGACTTTTCAATAGTGTTAAGCCAACTCAATTCAGATTACACAATTAAAAACCACACCCATTAAGACTGAGCCAGAGAGGTTAAGTAACTTGCTCAAGGTCACAGAGCAAGCACATGTCATAGTTGGCATTTTAACTCAGGAATTTCTGACTTCTAATCCAATGCTTAATTCACTGGATTATGTATCAGTGATTTAAAAACCTGCTCAAAAGTTAATTTAAGAATACCTGGTTTGAAGCATAAAGTTCTGAACACCAAGGGTATGTCTACACTGCAATGTAAGCCCAGGGTTTGAACTCAGGCTCAAGCCTTCCATCTTCACATAAATTGTGCTAACCAAGGGCTCAGACCCAGGGTCTCAAGATCTCATGAGGGTGGAGGGTCCAAACCTGAGTCAAGCCAGGACCCAGGGTTCAAGCCCTATTGCTTTGCAGTGTAGATGCAGCCCCACCAAAAGAATCCCACGGACTGACTTTCTTTGTCCTCTGGACAGTCAAGTTTGGTGAACAGTCAAGTATTCCCACACTGCACCAGGAACAAAGGGTTAAAGCAGCCAGATCTTGGGAGTGCACTAGGAAGTCTGAGATATGGATGGTTGGATTTGGGCTTGCATAATGAAGAGCCCCAGGTTGGGACCCAGGGTTCAACAATTCCTAACCTGGGGTTATAAATGAGCCTAGATGCTCACGCCCTCGGTTAACAAACCCAGGATCTGGTAACTCAAGTTCTACTAACCCTGGGCTTACCTTGCAGTGTAAACATATCCCAAAAGCGAGGTCATGTGCATGGGAAGTAGTAGCTGAACTGCAATTCCCAGCTAAAGACCCACAAGAATTTCAATTCAAGGTTCAAGTATCAGCGGGGTAGCCGTGTTAGTCTTTAAGGTGCCACCAGACTCATCATTGTTTTTGTGGATACAAACTAACAGATTTATTTGGGCATAAGCTTTTGTGGGTAAAAAGCCCACTTCTTCAGATGTGTCATTTAAGGTTCAGTAAATTTGTAAAAAGGAAACCAAAAATTAAGTGATTCCCATCAGTAATCTGTTCTCAGGATTGCTGTCTGGAATTGTGCAAAACCTCTGAGGATTAAGAGGTTGTCACACGTCATTGTTACTTCCGGTATCCTGGCAGAGGTAAATAAAACATTTAAATCTTTTAATGCTGCTTTGGCAAAGCCAGAGGGCCCAGTGAGGGCAAGTCTCTTATTAATAGAACCTTGACATACATCACTTTTCAACTGTATAATGGCTCCCAGGTGGAGCTCAAGTCTCCTGCATAAAAATAATCTATACAAATGCAATTTAGGTATTTTACTACATGAGAAGTAATACCAAATGGTGTATTACAATTCTAATCTGTTCATCAAAATCACTTCACATTAGGGTCACAATGGCCTCGAGTTTTCTGAGTCACTTTAGGCTCAAATACACAACATTCAACATTTGGAGATTTTTGCATTAAGTCCACACCTAAAGCTCCATTGCTAAGGGCAGAATTCCAGGAGCTCTGGCGTTTGCTAGGAAGAATCTGTGGGTCAGATTCTGATCTCAGGTAGGCCAGTGTAAATCAAGAGTAGTTCCCATTACTTCAGGGGTGTAGCTGAGATCAGAATTAGGTTCAGCATTTTAGCATAATACTATTTATTAATTTGAAATATTAATGAATAACCTCATCTTTTATGGATCAGTTTTCTCTGATTATATTTTGCCTGAGTTTGGTGGAAGGACAAAAAATGACACCAATATTAATTAAAATGGGCTTAAGCAATTTCTTAAGTGAGAAAGAGATTGTTAATTGTCAGATGGAAAAAAATAGGAGAAAAGACTGCTGCGTTTTACTCCTGGCTCTGTCACTGGCTTGCTACTTAGCCATAGGTGGGTCAGTTAATTTATCTGCCTCAGTTTACCCACTGAAATAATATATATACCTAGCTCCCAGGGCTAAAGTACATAAGCATTGGATGTGTCCCAGATAAGTGTCCTATACTGAAAAGTAATTTTTCACACCACATCCATATACTGTCCATGCTGATTTGGTCTGTGTGTGTAGAGAGGGGCAAAACTTTTTAATAGGCTTTTAAAATGTTGCACAACAATTAAAAGGTATTCCAAAGCCATTGAACAAGGAGCTCCTAATTCCTTTCTCTTCGGCGTGGACTGTTTTTCAGGGAACAGTTACCACTTTTCTGATTTTCAGAAATTCCTGCACCATAGATCTTCAAGGATTAGTCCTATTGTGCACGCATCAAAGGTAGTCATGGTTAGTAAAGTAAAAGTCACAACTAGGAAAATTAAATTAGAGTTCTTTCTTTCTTTCCAGACGCTATCACTGATCTCTGAAGCTGCTGACCTCACAGCCTCTTTGCTCACTCTGATGCTATAACCTACTGGGTGCACCCTATGGTTCCTGGAGCAGCACAGATTAAACAGATATCATGAATAACTGGAGTCAATAAAAAGAGTTTCAAATAACCTTTCAGACAGGCAGATGGGGAGAGGACAACAGAGAGCAAAAAAATTAATTCACAGCAAAAACAAATAGTCACTCCTGACAAGAATTCAGCACACCAGAAGAATAAATTAAACATCTCAGAATAAAGGGTGTATGGAAAAGCACCATCAAACAGCAATGCACATGCCATTATTTGTTCCTGCATTACACCCATTAGGCTTTTTAAACAAAATTCTGCTTTTGGAGTGTGTTAACCAGCTGTGCAAGATACTTACAGCAAAATTTGACATTATGCAAAACTTGATTGTTTTATTTACAACATATAAAAAGCCCTGGATATGTTCACTGAAAGTTTGGTGAGGAGCATGAACCTTTCCAGTGAGCCTGGGCCCAGTTTGGAGTGAAAATGTTCATCGGTTTCTGGTTTTGCATCAATATAGTATGAGACCTGTGGTCTTGATGTCAAAGCAGGTGAGACTGTAATTCTGATGGGAGTTTCACATTGTGATTTTGGGTTAATTCCTGAGTGAGATCTGAATGTTCAAGGTCCTGTCTGCTCTGTACAAATGTTAAAGATCCCATAACACTTTATAGCAGAGTAGGGGTTTGCCTGGGTATTCTTGGCCAAAATTTCACTTCCTGTCACTCTTGGTTATCCCTTTATGGCTGGAATTTCCTTCCTTACCTTGTGTGCCATGCTCTCCTTTAAAACTCTTGAGAACTCACTTTTTGGTTCAGGGCAAAATTGCTGTTAAAAACTGAAAGACTGGGCTCCATGTATCCAGTTTCAACAGATGATTTTATGTATTCAAAGCACAAGGCAGGAAAGATTAATTAACAGAGGGAATCTAGGAGTTAGTTGAAACTGGATGCCAAATAGTAAACCTTCTTTTCTGCTACTTAAAGATTATGACCAGAACGCTTGGTGGAACAGCGAATGCCTTGGCCTTTTGCCCTTAGAGTTTTGATTTCTAATTCTGTTTTGGTAACAAAACTACCTTAACATTATCTCTGGACTAGAACTGTCGGAGAGTGGTGGTTGTAAATCAGAACTGAGGTGCTTGTCAGAGCCATGTGGGGAAATTCTGAAAGGCCTTGCCTGCACTCTGCCTTCAAAGTAGGACATACAGCCTCACTGTCTCTCAGATGAGCCTCTGGGCTTGAGCACTCCTGCTTCACACCATGAGCTCTGCCCAGCAAGTCCAACTGAGATAGACTGCTGGTCAGATTTGTATACTCTTCAGGGACTCAAGCACCTCAGCAAGTATATGCAGTGACACCCAGCAACCTTTTCAAAACATAGGGAGATTAGTCAACTGGAACACGGCATCCCGGTTAGGTTAGGTTAGCATACAGAATGAAGGTTACAACATAGGCCATTTAGCCAAGCCAGTGCCATCAGCCAGCCAAGCTGCTATGAACTCCATTTCAGGCTCTGTCTCCTGTGTCAGTTCAAGGTGAACCACTCTGAGTTCACATACCACCTGCTGGAAATTCCAGATGTTAAGTGTTGATTGTTCAGTCCTTGGGGCTTCCACTGTCTCCTGTTCTGCCCCAAGAGGACACACAACCCTTTCCCCCCTACTAAGTAGCCATACAAAGCACAGTAACAAGGAATGTGTAGGATTCATAAACATATTAAAAAAATCCTACTTCATCACAGGGGGCACCTTAATTCTCCAGAAGATTATAAATGTTCCTCCTCAGATGATGCCTTGCTGCTGATGTACTTTCACTTTCTCTTTGTGACAGACAAGACCTCTGAGCTTGTCTGAACAGGTAATTCCCCACCATTCTTTCATCAATATCCTTTTATGGAAGCATTGACTTGCCAAAACGTGTTTAAACACTAGATTGATTGTACTATGAGAATTTAAATAACTAGGGATGCTTGATTACCTCCAAGTTGGCTTCAGAGAGCTGTTTGCATTCCTGCATTTATGAGAGAAAATTTGAGTGCATGCCTTTTATTAACTTTTTTTCTTATGGCCCTCTATTTCCTCTACGTTGACTTTTTCATCTTGAGTTACACTTTGTTACAGCATAGCTGGGATACTGAGGATGGTTTTTCCTGCCTCTCTTACTGACTCCAGATGTTGATATTCTCTTGTTTTCACTTTCCTGTTCTTGCTTTTTAATCTGGGGTTTTTTTTTTACTCTCTCTTTAATCACTTTGCATTTTGCTGCACATCTGTTCCAAAATAAAAAACAATTGATTGGCTCAACAGAGCCAAAAATTCAGAGAACACTGCATTATTTTATGCATTCGCTGCAAATAAAACAATGTGTTAGTGGAGAATTTGTTGTTCAAAGGTCAGAAGAATAAATTATAGTTGCACAGCAATTATACTCTGTCCCCTTCAGTTTATGTAATATTCTGTATTGCTGTATCAGCTGTTAACTTTATGCTTTATGTGCATTTGCTGTGAAAACATTTGTTGTGGATTTCCAGATTTCTGAGCATATAAATTCTTAAATTCATATAAACCAATATGTTCCATTAACATGGGATGAGGGGGTTGTATAGAATTTTCCTTGCTATAGTAGAGTCAAGCTTACGTGTCAAGGGGCACCTTAGAAATACTATAGGTAGATAGATGATGAAAGGCAGATTAGGTCAAGATGGAGCATGATATGCTGTGATCCATTGCCTCTATCAGTCGTTTGTTAAAAGTGGTGCGTGGCATGCTGTGATCTGGTGTTTTCATGGAGGTTGTTGTCATCAGGATGGAGCAGGGATCTCACTTCTCAGGAGGCTGCTCACAGACCTATAACTCTTTATAGTTTATCCTGGGGGGGAGGGGGGGAAAATCATATGTCAAGATTAGAAATGGGCCAGGTTGGTTCATGTCCTTTATACAGATGAGGACAGGCATAATATTCCAGATATTGGGATTAAGAGAAGGCTGGTTAAGGTCCATTGTGGAGATGGAGCCAGGCTTGGCACTTGGAGCAGGGATAAGGTTGGTTCTGGTCTATTACTGAGATAGTGTCAGACATGACTTCTGGGGCATTGGAAGTGGGTGAGGTCGGTTCTGGTCCATTACAGAGATGGATCCAGGCCTGAAGTCTACGCCATTGGGAGTGGGGGAAGTGGGTTCCAATCTGTTATAGAGATGGGGCAGGTGTGGCGTCGAGGGTGTTGGGAGGTTGGTTCCAATCTTTTTTTATAGAGACAGGTCTAAGTGTGGTGTCTGGGGCATTGCAAGGTCCGTTATAGAGATGGGGCCAGGCATGGCATCTGGGGTGGCGGGCATGGTTGATTCTGGTCCGTTATCAAGATGGGGCCAGGCTTTTCATCCGGGGCATTGGGAGGTAGGCTCTGGCTCATTATAGAGATGGGGCCAGGCATGATGTCTAGGGCGGCAGGGAAGGTTGGTTTCAGTCCATAATAGAGATGAGACCATGTCGGGGACTGGGAGGTTGATTCCTGTTTGTAATGGAGATGGGCCCAGGGGGGGTGTCTGGGGTGTTGAGAGGTCAGTTTCGATCTGTTTTAGAGACATTCCCAGGGCTCTGGGAAGTCTGTTGCAGTCCATTATAGAGATGGGCCCATGCAGGTTGTCAGGGGCGTTGGAGGTCTGTTTCGGTCCGTTATAGCAATGGGGTGCCCGGGGTGGTGGGAGGTCGGTTCAGGTGCGTTCCAGAGACGGACGGGCCCATGCAGGGTGTCTGTGGCGCTGGGAGGTCAGTTCTGGTTCGGTACGGAGACGAGTCCGTGCTCGGAGGTCGGTTCTGGTCCAGTCCACTCCAGAGACGGGCCCACGTTGGGTGTTTGGGGCGGTGGGAGGTCGGTTCCGGTCCGGTCCAGAGAGGGGCCCACGTGGGCTGTCCGGGGCGGTGGGAGGTCGGTTCCGGTCCGGTCCAGAGAGGGGCCCACGTGGGCTGTCCGGGGCGGTGGGAGGTCGGTTCCGGTCCGGTCCAGAGAGGGGCCCACGTGGGCTGTCCGGGGCGGTGGGAGGTCGGTTCCGGTCCGGTCCAGAGAGGGGCCCACGGTGGGACGTCGGTTCGGGTCCGGTCCGGAGCCGGGCGGTGCGGCGATCTCCCCCACTCATGCAGGTGCAGCGCCGTTGCACTGTCCCGTCAGGTGCTGCAGTGATGGGGGTGCCCCCGAGGCTTGGCCCCTCAGCAGGGATCGCCCTGGGCCGAGCCCCTCTCTGCCCCGCCCGGCCCAGCCCAGCCCAGCCCAGCCCAGCTTCTCCCTGAGGGGACTGACTGCTGCTAACATCCACTCTCACAACCCCCCATTGAATGGACTCGTCCCCCTCCCCGTGGAATGGATCCTCCCTCTCCTCGGATTGGTGAGTCCGCTGGACACTCTCGCTCTCATTGGCTGAGGGGCGACCAATGGGGGTGGGAGGAGGAGGCATGTCCCGCCCTCCGTGAGGCAGCCCCTCTGGAGGCCGCGCAGGGCGGGGCCCTGTGGGGTGTTAGGGTGCTGGGCTCGCCGCACCCCGTAGAGGAGGAGAGGCGGGAGCGGCCATGAAGGTGAGGGGCGGGGGACGCCGGCGGGGTTAGTCCCCGGGCCCGAGGAAGCGCTGCGGGGAGCCGCCAGGGTTGTGTCCCCCCGGCCGGGAGTGGCGGGCTTTTGTGCCGGTGCCCGGCCCGCGGTCCTGCCCTCCCCCCCGCGCTTTGGGCCCGAGCCCCCGTGACTTGGCAGCCCGTGAGCGAAGCCCAGAGGCCCCTCCCCCCGCCCGGGGGGCTGGTAGTGGGGAGACTCTGCCCCGGCCCCGGCTCCGGCCCCGGCTCCCGCTCGGGCTGAGCCCCAGCCTCCTTTCCGGCCACGCGCCGCTCCGCCCGGCCCGGCCCGGCCCGGCCCGGCCCGCCTCAGCGGTGCGGACCCTCGGGGTCCGGCCGCTGGGATCTTGCCAGGGAGCTGGGTCAGGGCCCGGGTCGTGGTGTGACTCGGGCCGGAGCCCGGCCGTTTTGCAGTTTGGCTGCCGCTGAAGCAGCCCGCCCAGGGTGGGGCGGGGGTGGGGGGTGTCGCGCTGTGTGGACGCGTTAGTGCGGCTGGGAGACCCAGTTCCAGCAATTGTTGGCAGCGCAGCGTGGCTGCTCAAGCATGTGCTTGGAAACAGCCCATAAGAGCGGACACGAGTTTGCAGTGCAGCATTGACATACCCTGAAGGGCTAGCTTGATCTGACCTCTTCACTGCTGTACAGGGCCTGGAGGAGAGGTAAGCGGCTCTGCCAGATACCATCCACTAGCTGTGAAGGGCTCAGAGATTGTAAATGGACCTGCTTTTGATGATGAACTTGAGACTCTGTCTTGCTGTAGGGCTCTTTAGTACTAGCTGCTTGCCTCCTGAATTTGGTGAATGTTCACAGATCTTGGGTTGCACCAGATCCTGGTGTCATGATCTGGCATACGCTGCAAGATTTGGTAGAAAGTCTTTATGGGTCAGAGCATTCACATGTATTTGTGTGAGGTAGAGGTGGTGGTGTGCATTAGGGCATAGCATAGAATCTGCAGTTCATTAAATTTGAACTGTAGAGGATTTGGTGGGGGGGATGAAAAAAGTTAGGCTTGTCCTTTTTGGTATGTGTCTAATAGATAAAGAAGCCTTGAAACAGTCTTTCAAACTTTCCCTCCCCCAAATAAATGTGTGTGTATAATATATATATATATATATATATATATAAAAATTTTGAAATCCCAGCGATCCTCTAGCTAGGGATGACCAGACTAAATATTTCTGGAAGTCCTGAGAATCTGTTTTGTGAAATTTTAATGCCTTGAGTGCACAAAGGTGCTGAATCCTTAGCAAAGGCTTCTGTTGTTCGCAAAGTTAGCTATTTAAGTTATATTGATAACAAAAACAAAAGTTTTAAACCAGAACTAATAATCCCTTCTCCTCCCCCTGCTTCACTGTCACTTCTTGACTCTTATGATGTCATATTTTATAAACTTCTAATTAGGACGGAACTTATAGAAAAAACAAGCTGAAAGCTGTCTTTAGGCCTCCTATATACATAATAATAATATAAGGGGATCACAAGTCCTGTAAAGAAAAGTATTGGGCATGGAGGAGATAGTTAAGGGCTCTTGTTGAAAGGAGGATAAGGAGATGCTATCTAGCAAAGTTAATAAGTTATTTTTGTATACATCTTTCTTACTTTTGGCATGGTCTCATTCTTAAACAGGTTTCAGAGTAACAGCCGTGTTAGTCTATATTCGCAAAAAGAAAAGGAGTACTTGTGGCACCTTAGAGACTAACCAATTTATTTGAGCATGAGCTTTCGTGAGCTACAGCTCACTTCATCGGATGCATACCGTGGAAACTGCAGCAGACTTTATGTACACACAGAGATCATGAAACAATACCTCCTCCCACCCCACTGTCCTGCTGGTAATAGCTTATCTAAAGTGATCATCAAGTTGGGCCATTTCCAGCACAAATCCAGGTTTTCTCACCCCCCGCACCCCACACAAACTCGCTCTCCTGCTGGTAATAGCTCATCATCATCATTGTAGGGAGAGTGGTCACTTTGGATGGGCTATTACCAGCAGGAGAGTGAGTTTGTGTGTGTATGGGGGTGGAGGGTGAGAAAACCTGGATTTGTGCTGGAAATGGCCCACCTTGATGATCACTTTAGATAAGCTATTACCAGCAGGACAGTGGGGTGGGAGGAAGTATTGTTTCATGATCTCTGTGTGTATATAAAGTCTGCTGCAGTTTCCACGAAATGCATTATCCGATGAAGTGAGCTGTAGCTCACGAAAGCTCATGCTCAAATAAATTGGTTAGTCTCTAAGGTGCAACAAGTACTCCTTTTCTTTTTGCGAATACAGACTAACACGGCTGTTACTCTGAAACCTGTTTAAGAATGAGACCATGCCAAAAGTAAGAAAGATGTATACAAAAATAACTTATTAACTTTGCTAGATAGCATCTCCTTATCCTCCTTTCAACAAGAGCCCTTAACTAACAGCCGTGTTAGTCTGTATTCGCAAAAAGAAAAGGAGTACTTGTGGCACCTTAGAGACTAACCAATTTATTTGAGCATGAGTTTATTTGAGCATAAGCTTTCGTGAGCTACAGCTCGCTTCATCGGATGCATCCGATGAAGTGAGCTGTAGCTCACCAAAGCTTATGCTCAAATAAATTGGTTAGTCTCTAAGGTGCCACAAGTCCTCCTTTTCTTTTTCCTAAGGCTGTTGCTACCCAACAAAAAAGATGATCAACCAACCAACTGCCCTCTCTGTTCTTCCTTATCTTTTATGCATAATTCATTCTTAAATATTGATTAAAAAACCAAAACTTTGATCAATTTTATACCATATTTACAGAAACATGCTGGTAGTTCCTTATTAAAGGTAAGCAGTCGAGAAAATTCTATCTGCTTTTTTTAACCCAAGTTTTAAATACTGGTCAAATTAAATTTGATGTTTGTTTGTTTGACTCTTATTTGGTTAGGGCTTGCATATAACTCCACTTGGACATTAAAACTTACCAAGGCCTGTGGTGGGTTCCCCATCACTGGAAATCTTAAAATCAAGACTGAAGGTTTTTTCTAAGAGATGCTTCAAGTTCAGGGGTTCCCAAATTGTTGTTAATGCTCTGTTAGTATTTGAGCTTGATTGTTCCATCCATTCATTTCTCTAAGAATCAGTAAAGTTTAGGAGCTGCTGTATCTAGTTCAAACAGGAAATAATTGAAATAAATCCTGTGGCCTATGTTATGCAGGAGGTCAGACTAGAATGGATGATCAGAAGACCCTTCTGGCCTTATCTGCTGGGGTTGGAGGAGGGGAGAACCTACTCTAGGCCAGCTTCACTGAAGGTACAACCAGAACTAAATGAATAGTTTCACTATCATGTTGCTATTTGCTAACACAAACTGCAGTGTTCAAATTCTCTACAGGAGGATGTTTTATTCCTCCCTCCCTCTCCTCCTCCTCCAATAATTTCATATATTTAAAAAAAAAAATCCAACACTCTTCCTTCCATCCCCCTAATTATTTGGCTGTAACTACTTAAGTGTCCTCTTTAATTATGTTGACATAAGTGTTTTGAACCATGGCTTTCATACATGTTGGAATTATAAGATACTACTAGACATTAATTATAAATTCCTTCATTAGATCCTCAGGCTGAATGGTATTTATACAATTGCTCTAAACATGCCTAAAACACTAAATAATTAGCAATATACTACATTCAAATAGTAACAAAACATTTATAATCCTTTGATCAAAATACTTACAAAAGAGCTAAACCTAGGGGTGCTTAGACCAGTGTTGGTTGGTTCTAACTTGGTGTGGCAAGTATTAGCAGTGATCAGCTCAAGAGTTTATCCTTTAACAAACAAGTGATGTCATTGCCAATTGCTAACTTTGGCCAAAACCTGGTTTTTAGCTCATTTGGAGTCACTGCTGGTTCAACATGCAGAAACAAGTCTTTATTATTAACGATCTCTGATAATTGGGGCATCTTCTTCCTTCAATCTTATCAGTTACCTTTCAGGTCTGTTTTTCCAGTTAAGCCACCTTCTTTCAAGGGCTTCTGATGACTGCTAATAAATCTGCACTCTACAAGATCTACAAAGATTCTTTTAAAATTAATCCTTTATATCCTACAATATTCCCGGATGCCCAGGTTCTGATACTGGTAGTTGGCTAATCCTTACTTCAGTACTATCCCCACTGAACCATGCAAGTGCCCTTTAGTAGAATTGCAGTTACTTTAATGTACTTAACTGTCTTACGAGCTATAAACTATTACTCATGAATGCTGGACTGGCAGTTGTGGTTTTTAAATTTCAATTTGTTTAATGTTATCTTTGTCAGAGTCTCACATGTCTATTACAGAAATAATTAAAAGTGCTTGTAACACGTGTTTTAGTCCTCATAGATTAAAAGGTGTATGTCTTGTGGGTTGCTTTTAAAAAATAAATAAATTTCTCAGCATGACTCCATTCCTGTCTAGTAAAACTAGGATGGTCAGAGAGCACTTGAAATTTGCACAGGAAAACGAGTATTGGTTAATCTACATTCTTTTTGGTATTAAATGAGGAAAATTGAGGTTTGGGTTAATAAGAACTTTAGAAACTGACAGTTAAGGAACTTAAGTGCTGACTATATATTGATAAATCTTTGAAGACTGGCTTAACATGTGTAAAGAAGCATGAATGTCTGATTACATACCTCAGTGGGAACATTTTCCATAATGTACGTTAAAGGGATTTTTATATGGTAGTTAAATCATTACTGCCCAACACTTTGGCAATAAATCCCCTCTAAATTGAGCCTTTTCACTTCAAATAAGCTTCTTGAAAATATACTGACAGTGACGGACTTAATCCACACAGGGATGAACATAAGGTTTTAATAGACACACATGTGATAGCTGCTTAGGGGCAAAAAGATGGAGTTCTTAGATTCATGGATCTCATTGCTAAAGGAAACACTGTGACTAAGAATTTTAAGATGGGTTGAAAAATCCAGTATTCTCAGGTATTTCTGTAGTAGGGTGAAAATTTTTAACTCCTTTTCAGAAGAGTGTGGGGGAAGCTTTAAATTATGGTAGTGTCCTGGGAGCACTCTATATACAGTTCTCCTATTACGTCTAGTGTAAATTCTGCACATGGTGTGCTTGCAAGATCGGGCTCATTAGATTTGTCTATGAATATTTGGTTCTGGGAGTGCCTATAATGTGCTGAGTGCAGTACAGCTGTAAAGGAACACAAGGTCCTAACCCTGACAATGTTTAGCACCTTAGTGACACATTTAACCAGAGATGTTGAAAACTTCCTACAGGAAAAGTGAAGGTACACGGTTTGTGTGGGCTGAAGATGTACAGAATCACGGAGGGGCATTTCTCATTGAATTTCAAGTTTTCCTGAAACTTTCTCTTGGAAAGATTGAGATAAAATATCTTTAATTTGTGACAGGGTTTCTTATAGCTTCCCATTGACTCTTATAAACTGGAATCTCAAAATTAGAGGAATATTTCCTATCATATTGAAGGGTACAAAATTCCTGGGTTATATATATTTAATTCTGCATTAAATTACCACAAATGTCAGGTTGTTTTCAGTTCATTTTAGAATAAATTTATAAATTCACTTTAAAATGAGTCTAGCTGGTGGCTAAAATGTGAGTTGTGAGTTAGAAACCAGTCAGTCTCCAGATAAAATGTCTGTGCACTTCCATGCATACCTCACTGATAAAGGCTCCTGCACTAGCATTTAATCTTGAAATCACAAACACGTGTATTCCATTTTCTTTCTCTTTAGCTGTAAGAGAATCTTCTCCCTTTTCAGTGTCTTCCAGTGTGGTAAAGGCTTGAAAGACAAAACCGCTTTAAACATACCAATTTAAAATTCGTTGCTTGGTGTTTTCCTTAAAGGTGCATAAATCCTTCAGTCCTATCACTCTGATTTCCTTCAAGAAGGAAGGAACTCTGGTGCTGGCCTGATCAAGGAACACATCTTTCTTTGTGTAATCATTTTTGAGTCTAACTAAAAACTGTAATTGGATTTGCACAGTCTGTCTGAATCTTAAAGTACCTGCCTCCTGTGAGTGTAGATTTTAAGTAGAATATGTATTACAGTGGATTGCCCTCCCCCATGCAAGAGACTCCAATATAAAATATTTCCAAGGATAACAAAATGTGCGTATTTCAAAAATGAATGCTTTTTGGGTGCTCCAGTTTGATTTTAAAATTAAAACATGGTCAGTATGTATTCAGATCTGTTCATAATAGCCATTTTATTGTAATGGCTAAATAGAGATGCCTAATGCAAGTAAAACAATGTTGCACCTACTGAAAGGGCTTGGAAAAACATACTTGCTGCTGGGAGAAGCTAGGCTATCCCTTTCAACAGAATTTCAGTTGTCCCTTTAAAATAAGATTCTAACCCCTTTTGGCTGTAAATATATTTCAGATGTGAACCAAATATAAACTAATGTGGTTTTGTCGCCTGGAGGCTACAGGCAGCTCCAGTGCCTCTGCTCTCAAATACAGAAACCCCATGTGTCGGGTATTCTTGTTTGGGTGTAATCTGCTTCCACAAAATCACCTTTCTCCATTTCCAGCAGCAGATTCTTTGCTCAGCCTGTGCTGTTCGCTGTGACCTGATTTACTGGTGTCTTATTCTCATCCTTTGAGTGTTTCTGCTCATTAACTGCTAGTCTTCCTTGTGGGTTCCTGTGTCTTTGCTGACTGATTCTTAGTCTGCTTCTTTCACGGATCCACTCTCCTGAAACATGACCGTCTCAAGTTCTCTACCTTGCCTGCTTGTGCAGTGCCCCCCACCAACTGCTCTCAAAAGAGGCCCTTTGCTTATTTTAACTGCCCAGACCCCAGTTGGGAAGCACAGGACTGAGACCATTCTAAGCGTTATTACTGTGTTAAGTTACTGTACTCTGGGAATTCATACACAGTACTAGTGGGATGATGATATAATAGAATGAAGCATCTCTCTGGCTTTAAGATTAAACTCGATAAGTTTATGGAGGAGATGGTATGATGGGATAACATGATTTTGGTAATTAATTGATCTTTAAATATTCATGGTAAATAGGCCTAATGGCCTGTGATGGGATGTTAGATGGGGTGGGATCTGAGGTACCCAGGAAAGAATTTTCTGTAGTATCTGGCTGGTGAATCTTGCCCATATGTTCAGGGTTTAGCGGTCGCCATATTTGGGGTCGGGAAGGAATTTTCTTCCAGGGCAGATTGGAAGAGGCCCTGGAGGTTTTTCGCCTTCCTCTGTAGCATGAGGCACGGGTCACTTGCTGGAGGATTCTCTGCTCCTTGAAGTTTTTAAACCACGGTTTGAGGACTTCAATAGCTCAGACATAGGTGAGGTTTTTCGCAGGAGTGGGTGGGTGAGATTCTGTGGACTGCGTTGTGCAGGAGGTCAGACTAGATGATCATAATGGTCCCTTCTGACCTTAGTATCTATGAATCCATCTATGAAACAAGTTATGCGTAGGTAAGACTCTTGAAATGGAGTTAAAACTTTTTGCCTTTACTGTTTTCAGGCGGGAGCCACATCCATGTGGGCTTCCTGCTGTGGGTTGCTGAATGAAGTCATGGGTACCGGAGCTGTCCGTGGCCAACAGCCAGGATTTGGGGGAGGTACTGGCCCTTTCAGATTTGCACCAAATACAGACTTCTCAGCATATCCATCTTCAGGAGCCAGTATAGTCTGCAAAGCCTGTGGGCTTTCATTTTCAGTTTTTAGGAAAAAGGTGAGTATAATTTATTAAATAATGCTTTACTAACACCAACTAATCTGTAGACATGTCAGGAGAGAAGTATTTTCCCCTTTTACAGATGGGAAAACTGAGGCACCAGGAGGAGGGGATTTAATGATTTGCTCAAGGTCACAGAGGAAGTTGATGTCAGACAGGATTAGAAATTTTCCTATATTCCTTGTTCAAAATAATAACTAACGAAGTTGCTGAACAACTGAGTGATGGAGAAGCTGAGCAACAGAAAAGTCTCAAATTGACAACTAGTATTGTAGCATTTTCCTTAGAAACAAAGTGAACTTAATTGTGGTCTTAGACCTGTGTCAGAGGAATAAGGTTGGCTAGGAAGTTGAAAACCTAATCCACTGCAGTAGCCTATCAGTTCACTTAGTCAAACAGGTGAGTTAATGAAAAATTTACCAAATAAAATTGATTGGAATTTTGTTTAAACTATGGATGTATTTCAAAACCTAATGTATAGATGACCGACTGTTCTATGTATTTATAGAACAATAGTGTAATCTCTAAATTTAGAGTCAATTTGGCAGGCCAGCATTATCTGGACCACTCAGTGACCCAGTTCTCTGCAGCTAACTTAGAATAACTGAAGCCCAGCTGTGTCTGATTTACAGAAAATCTAATATTCAGAGATTTTTACAACAGATCAATCTCTTGGCAGAGATTTCCCCATTTTAGTAATCTACTGTGCTCTGCATTCCTTCTGTGGCAATGTGCCTGAGCAGCAGTTAAGGGTCCATAATGTCTCAATCTAAGCTTTCCTAGAGCTAATTTATTAAAATTCCAAAGAATGTGAGGAGAGAAATATCTAGGCTAATCATGGTAGTTGAGGTAGTCGTGTTAAGGGACTCATGTGACTCTTGGATATACCAATTCCCCCTGCCTGTATGCAACTAGATCTCTTGAATTAGAACCTCTGTTTACCTCGGGTTCTCTAAACTAAACACTGTCTAGAACATAAGCCTGATTCAGGGTCCTCTGAAATCACTGGGAGCCCTCTCATTAACTTTAATGGGATTCAGGTGAGGCCTGTTCTGACTGGAGAATCAGGAATCTGAGGCTAATTGCTTGAGCTCCCATGATCCCTGTCCTCCAAGTTGTTTCTTAAATGCAGGACGATTTCACTTGTGTCTGAAGTGACCATCAGAGTTGCCCTTAGACCATCCTTGCCCTCAGTCTACTCCCCACCCCTCCCCCTTTCTTGTTGGAAAAATTTGCCATTCAAATTTGTCAGCCTGAAGATTCAGGAAAAGTAAACTTCTGATTTTTTAAGTCTAACTTCTGCATCTTCTATTTGCTACTGTGGATGTCCCTTACAATTTATTCTCCTGTAGGGTTGACCTGTAATATCTGGAAAGAGAATTTTTCCTATCTTTTTCCCTCCAGATTTTTGCTTTGGAGATATTATTCCCTGTGGTGTCTAGTTTCTTGTGGTAGGAGAGATGAGTTTAGATGCCAATTTAAGACCTTAGCATGTCTCCAGGAAGGGTTGAGTATATAACATTGACTTTTCCGTTTTCATATTAGAAATAGTAAATCTAAATCAGAGCTTTATGTAAAAGTTTGTGGTGTCTGTAGTTTCGTGTGTTTTTTGTATACAGAGATTATCCTACATGGCTTTGAGTGAAATGGACATGTAGGTAGTGCTTTGTAGCTCAATTATAGTGTTTACAATGTGTCTCTACTTAGAGCGTAGGGGACATAAGAGTCTAATTAGAAAATTACCTTGTCCTTTACAGTTCATCTCTTCCCTTAAATATTCTTATCACATTCTTGCTTGAGAGGCTTTTGCAAGCTGGAAAAAATACGGGGTATATCTACATGGCAAAAACAAACAAATCCACAGCTGTAAGTCTCAGAGCCCAGGTCTACAGACTTAGGCTTGTGTTATGATGCTACAAATAGCCACGTAGCTGCTTGGGCTCTGGTGCCCTGGGATGGGATGGGAGGCTTCAGAGCCCACACTTCAGCCTGAGCCAAAACGTCTACACAACTATCTTTAGTGCTGTAGCATGAGCCTGAGTCTGTAGACTTGGGATATGAGACTTGTTGCTAATACCCATAGTGACATTCTTTTATTATTCTGATGTATACCTGCTTTTAAGAGTGTTTTTTTTTTTTTGAGGTCAAGATTAAAGCTTACACTTTATTTAGCCATTGAACTGTCTTCCCAAAACATCTGGGTCCTCGTCAATATCTTTATAGAGGAGCTCTATGGAGACTTTATTTAGGAAGTGCAACTTATACTTCTAGCCACTGCTTCAGAGGAAGGCATAATTGTCTCCCATGACTTAATTTCCTAATAGCACAGTGTAGAAAGTGCTATCTTCATGATTCCAGCTTAGAAACTGGTTAGTATCTTGAATCATCAGAACTGAGTCTCAGTAATTTTAAGTATCTTAATGTAGTTCTCTGGGAATGGAAGCGGAACAATACATCAAGGCTTCAATAATGTTTCTAATGGTGCTGGATGACTGTTACACTGCAATCATTATACATTGTCTTCTGTGACATTGCCCCTGTAGTCTCCATTGTCTAGTCAGGGAAAAATGTTTAAAATATGTTGGCTAACATTTTCAGAAACATCTCTTCTAGTCAAGATGAGGCCTGTGGGAATTGTGTACACTGTCATGTCATCACAGAAAGAGGATGCCTTGTATGCAGTCTCTTAATCAGAATTTGCAGTTGCAGTATCATGAAGGACAAAGAGGTTTCCAATCACAGAGCTGCTATTCTCCAAACTGTTTGCTTTGTGACCCTGCCACTTTCTAGTATATGCAGCTGTTGGTGTATACCTTGGATCTGTATTCTGGAAGTAAAAAGGTACCCCCAACAGCTTTCTGGTTCCTCTAACTTCGGCTACATCAGCTGAAATCGATAAAGTAGAGGGGATGGAAGGTCTGCATGGCTTTGCACAGTTAGTACTTGGGGAGGACAATAGTTCTTTCGTATAGCTTTCTTCTGCTGGGAAAGCATTTTAAAAGGCCACTCACTTTATATCAAACTTGTCTGAAATTGCTCTTATTACTGTAAGAATTAATGACTAACATCACTAAACCTGAAAGATCAACTTTTTTCATCATTTTTACATTGTGCATTTGCACGCACCTTGTGTATAATCATACTTTCTCCTGTAGTCATATTTCGTGTGTGTGAAAGAGAAAAGAAACTAAAACATTCCCCAGAAAATAGAAACAGACTTGGTGGCAGGTATAGAACTTTGAAATTGACTAGATTTCAAGTGGGTGTCCTTTTGACTTAACTAAAAGTGTGTATTTAAGTTTGCGTTGTCTTGTTAAAATGGATTAACTGTCTTGATGAATGTACTAGCCCTACAAATGCTCTGGAGAGTACCTGCAAAACTGTTTGACAGGCCAGTTTCATAGACCACTCAGAAAACATTAAAAAGAAAAGGAGTACTTGTGGCACCTTAGAACACGAAAAAACCGTGTGTATATAAATCTCCTCACTGTATTTTCCACTGAATGCATCCAATGAAGTGAGCTGTAGCTCATGAAAGCTTATGCTCAAATAAATTGGTCAGTCTCTAAGGTGCCACAAGTACGCCTTTTCTTTTTGCAAATACAGACTAACACAGCTGCTACTCTGAAACCTGTCAGAAAACATACTAAGATTGTCAGTTGAAAGCATAAGAATAGCAGTGGGTGATTGGGGGGAGGGAAGGAAATAGCAAATACAGATTTATTTTCTATTCCTGTGAATATCTGGCATACAGTTTAATGGCTTTTTCGTCGTCTTGTTTAGCACGTGTGTTGTGACTGCAAGAAGGATTTTTGCTCAGTTTGTTCAGTCTTACAAGAAAATCTCAGAAGATGTTCTACGTGTCACTTGTTACAAGGGACAGCATTTCAGCGGCCTCAGTTAATGCGACTGAAAGTCAAGGATCTGCGTCAGTATCTGATCCTTAGAAACATACCAACAGATACTTGTCGAGAAAAAGACGACTTGGTGGATCTTGTACTCTGCCATCATGGATTAGGTTCTGAGGATACAGACACTAGTAGCTTGCATTCTTCAAGGTCACAGACTTCTAGTTTTTTTACACATCCATTTTCTCTGTCTGTATCAGTGTCATCCTCTCAAGGAGAACTTACAAATAGAAGAGGAAGCACAGAAAATGGACCACCTGTACAGGTACAGTACCAGTAGTTGTGGTCTTACAATGAACTTATAAAAGTGCTGTCTGCTACTTTTTTTTTTTTTTTTAAATATACCAGTGGGCAGGTGTAGGGTCTTCACGAAATACTTTTTTTACATCCTGCACTTGAAAATGGAAGAACATGGGTAATTGGGACAAGACTGTGATCACTTTAAACTGTAACAGCTAATGTTAGCATAAGCTTTCCAATTTGCGTGTCATCTGTTACCTGTTTTAAAGCATTTTCCTTACTGTACCAGAGGGGGTTGTTTATCCTGATCTGATTCATTGTATATGCAGGGACAAGGTGGAATGCCTTCAGCAAATAACGAAGAAGAGGAAGAAGAAGAAAATGCAGAAGAGCAGGTGAGAAATATGAACCACCTAAAGAGTAAACTAGACCTATTTGGCATCTGACATAGAAAACCATGCAGAGCCTTAACACTGTTAATTTAGTTTGAGTGAACTAGGCTGTGGTGATGCGTGTTAACATCAATATTTGAAAATATTGTTTAAAAAAAAAGTAAATCCTTTAAACTATAGCAGGGATTAGCTAAAATTAAAAATAAGACATAATTGGTGTGTTTCAGACCCCTAGCATGTCCAGAAAGCGAGCAAGAGCATCACTGTCTGATATTTCAAGTCTAGAAGATATTGAAAGGTCAAGTGTTCGACAGCTGAAGGAAATACTTGCTCGTAATTTTGTCAACTATTCAGGATGCTGCGAAAAATGGGAACTTGTGGAGAAAGTGAGCAGGCTCTATAGAGAGAGTGAGGAAAATCACAGGACACGTAGGTGTTCGTTTTTGTTCTTGTTTTTTTTCTCCTTAAAATTAACTCTTGTTCTCTCGTGACTGGCTTTGACAATGGGTGTTGTGAGTGCTTTTGTCAGCTGCAACAACTGAAAAGCTATTTTAACTGTACTAGCTGTGTCCAGAATAGCTGAAGCTATGCTAGATCTGGCATGTGAGTTACACTGTTGATCAGTATGTGTTATTAGTTCCCAAGATTGTACTGTTTTGATGACTTTTGCTGAAGCTAAATAAACTTGATCATTCTCACTTCAGCTTTCCTCAGAGTAGTTAAATTGGTAACAACTGCACTATTGAAAACCAACCCATTAGAGAAAATGAAATAGTTTTGCACCCCCATACCTTTCACTGTGGTTTCACAAAGTGTTAGTTTTTTCTATGCCAAAAAAATCCCACTATTTCAGAAGAGAACTCCTAATTTTTAGTGATGTTACTACTTCTCAGTGATAAAAGCTACACTGGCAAAAATCCCTCTGCCAGGGGACCAGTCTCTCTCTGTGGCATAGCTGTGAAGCCATTGCTAGGACAAGTGATGGTTTTCTGATCAAGTTTCTGGTGTTTTTCCTAAAGCTAGCATTTTAACAAATATGGTTGCAATGTGTTTATAAACTAAGCACAACTGAATTAAATTGTCACAATTCTGCCACTCAAACAGTTACAGTATCATTTTGGGACAGTTTAAATGTGAACTTGAAGATTTTTTTCCTGTTTCTCTAACATCTTACAAAATGTGAAAGATTAACACCCAATCTACTTTTCATCATACACCATGACTGCTCTTTCATTTAATTCTACATCTTTACTAAATGCTTCATAAATCTTATGGCCCAATAGCAATTTTTGTAAGGTTGTATTTAGCCCTGTTAATAATATTGCATACATATCTGTAGTGATCAAAGTCCTTTACAAAGAGGGAGTTAAGTATTGTTCTCCATGTTTAACAAATGATATAAAACTAAGGCCCAGTGGTGGGATGACTTTGACCCTGCTATGACAGTGGGTGTGACAGAGCTGGATTGATACCTGTATTTGAATCCTAGTCAGTACACTTTTCACTGGACCATGTGACATCACAGAGGTTATCTGATCCTAAATAAAGGACAAAACCATACTCTGCATCACTTAGCTTAATCTTACTCAGTTTATAATGGTTGTAAACTAAATCTTTATTTTACCATAGCTTTACTGTAAATGCAGATGAAAATGACATGATGCTGAAATGAGTTAACTTAGTTTCCTACATGTCTGGGATAGAATTTAGCTGCTTTTGCCATGGCCTGAATTTCTCTAAATCTTAACCCTGTCTGTTGATTTGCAGAGGGAGAGAAGATACAACTGCATGAGAACGATGATAATCTGTGTAGGATCTGCATGGATGCAGTAATTGACTGTGTTCTTCTGGAATGTGGTCACATGGTCACCTGCACAAAGTGTGGCAAAAGAATGAGTGAGTGTCCGATCTGTAGACAGTATGTTGTACGAGCAGTGCATGTATTTAAATCTTAAGACCAAAAACACATTTTATAGCCATCCGGAGTTCCTGTATTTCTGGGGGCAGGACTGATGAAGCTTGTTATGACGAACATTAGTTTCAATATGAATCAAACATTTTGAACAGCAGGCTATAGAAGCATTTGAAACACTTTCCTGTATTGTTGTTAAAATTTGCAGTTTGGTGATATGTACTGCAGGAGCTGCCTGAGTTACCTTATAAAGCCATGAAGTGTTTACAGCAGATCTAGCATCACTTAGTGCTCTCTTCTGAAGAACACCATAATCATTAGTTTGCTGAAGGGTCCAGTATAGTCAACAGAAAACTGCTTTACCATGACCATATTGTTGGATGACTCTAGCCTGGTTCATTTGGTGCATATGCATTGCTCCTGGCAAATAGACTTGTGTAGTATTTAATAGGCATTAAATAGAATGTAACTGTTCTGACACTAGTGCTACAAGGGTGTTAAAACAGTCGATAAACCAAGATTGTAGAAAGCATTGCCGTTGCATAAAGGTAAAGCTAATCTAATCTATTTTCCTGCTTATTACTTTGTTCCGAATGTCGGTCTGATTACATGTATACTGTCCACTAACAGTCTTTGTCAAAGTGAACTGTGTAGTCCTACAGAGCTCTGTTTAATTGCATCCAAATGCTAATTACTCCATGTTCAGTTTAAGAATAAAATGTAGTCAAAGGGAATAGGGGTTAACTTCAGTGGTCCCAAATTCATTCAAACCTAGTCTATTAATTTTGCAAGGACTGAATTCTACATACTAGGAACTTAATGTGAATAGATCAATTATAGTGACACTAATAGATGCTAACTTTTGGGAGTTATAGTATTACAAACCTTAACCATTTTTTTCCGGGGTGGGGATGGGTTGAGAGTAAGGAAGGGGGGAGGGGAGAACTTAAGAGGAATTGTAGCTTTTTTTTTTAAATATGCTGCTTGCTCACAGGTGTTTGAATCAAGACTAGGGTAGTGAACAAAATTGCCAATTACCTGTTTGGCCCCTGTGAAATAGGTTTTTCAGTCCAGCTCCTAGATAGTATCAAACCACAATCAGTGGCAATAATTTCTTTAGAATACAAGAATTTCCCTTAAAGGGTCCTGCAGCTCAGTGGGAATAGATTCTGAGGTAAATGAGCGTAGTAGGCAGCCAGTATTGCCCACTACCTTTGTAGGCTAGATACTTAATAGTATAACTACTTTTTTTTTAAGGGGGAGAGCTAATGGCAGTTATTGAAATGCCTGTGTTATCCAGTGACAACTTTAAGCTGAGTTGAATTGTCACGCACAAGTCTTACTGGGCAAATGCAGCGTTGCCATATTGTATAGTTTGGGTTTTTTTATATGTGGGTGTCTTTCAACTTTCTCTACAACCCACTATTCAATTCCCAGTGTTCATCTAGTTTGGGAAGGCAGGTGTTTTGGCAACTGCAGCCATTAGTACATTAAAAATACTTCTGGTTTTCTGTACTGTAGATCATGGGAGGTACACTGCCTCCCATGCCTACTCAGGACTTGAATGCTCTACAGCCAGGACTCCACAGGGGGGATTTCTGTAGCCTTTTGACAAAGCTGCTGCAGGGAGGGAGTAGGTGCAGGGGGCTTAGCTCTAGCACTGCTGCTTGGTTTCCATTAAATTGTGCTGCAATTCAATCAAAGTGGTAGGTGGTTTTCCATTTTCAACTCTTAGGTGCCTAACTTATCGTATTCTCTTTAAAATAACCAACCAAAAAAACAATCCTGAAATCTTTACTGCACAACATCCTGATAATCATTCTTGAAGAAAACTACTCAGACTTTATGCACAAGCTGGATATTGGCTAAACTAGCACATCTGTCAATACTTTCAGAAGTAACAGGAAGTATAAACTGCTGCTGCTGTTTGGTACAACTCAATATGCAGTTTACAGAGAATCTTTAACTGACATTACTGCTTATTTTTCAGAAGAGAACAAAACTCTAGCCTTTTTTTAAAAAACTTTCTAAAAAGGTACTGACTTGTTCTTGTTCAGTTGGTAAGTTAATGTAGGGGAATGTAGCATATACATTACTTCCATTCTGAACAAGGGCTGAGAGTTTAATAAAGGTTTGTAACTGGTCTGGGATCAGTCTTATGTCTCTTTTTTTAAACTATTCACTATCCTCAAGTGTCATTTGACTAAGTCTCCAGTGGAGGTTAGAAGGGCCAGACTGCATGCTTTTGAGCAGCTGTATAAAGGAATCTCTTGCACCCCTTAGATTTAGCCAGGTGTGCACAATACTCACACCACAGCTCACCTTGAACTGGATGCTTCAGTAATGTAACAAGATTGAGTCCTTCAGTCATTCACAAGGTGGTAGTCTGCTTACTTACATTAATAAGCTTCAATGCTATCCTGATGTAGCCAGCCCCCTTCAAAAATCACTTCAGTTGAAACAGGGGCCTTGCCTGAAGCGTATCCTGCTGGTGTTTACAACAAGTATAGAGTGATGGCAGCTACTTAAAATGTATAACAAGTGAAAAAAAGGGGAAGTTGACCATAATATAAATCTTGCTTCTTGGAGCACTGGTACAGGAACCCACAAGGGGAAAGGCAACTCCTTAATCTAGTCTTGAGTGGAGCATAGGATGTGGTCTAAGAGGTAACTATAACAGGACTACTTGGAAATAGTGACCATAATATAACAACAATTAACATTCCGGGGGGGAGAGAAATACCTCAATAGCCCAACACTGTGGCATTTAATTTCAGAAAGGGGAACTATACAAAAATGAGGAAGTTAGTTAAACAGAAATTAAAAGGTACACTGACTAGAGTGAAACCCCTGCAAGCTGCATGGACACTTTTCAAAGACACCATAATAGAGGCTCAACTTAAATGTGTACTCCAAATTAAACACAGTAAAAACTAAAAACCCCACCATTCTGGCTTAACCATGTAAAAGAAGCAATGATCTTTTAAAAAGTAGAAGTCAAATCCTAGTGAGGTAAATAAAAAGGAGCATAAACACAGCCATACAAATTTAAATGTAAAAATGTATTAAGAAAAACCAAAAACTCAAAAGGTAACAACAAAATGTTTAATACTTCAGAAGCAGGAAGCTAGCTAAACAACCAGTGGGGCCCCTGGACAATCAAGATACAATTGTAGAGAAACTAAATGAATTCTTTGCTTCAGTCTTCATGGCTGAGGATGTTAGGGAGATTCCCAAACCTGAGGAATTGTCACAGATTGAAGTGTCACTAGAGGACACATTGAGAAACTTATCAGTAACAAGTCCCCAGGACCAGATGGCATTCACTCAAGAGTTCTGAAAGAATTCAAATGTGAAATTGTGGAACTATTAACTGTCCTTTAAAGCAGCTACTGTACCCAATGACTGGAAGATAGCTAATGTAACGCCAATATTTAACAAGGGCTCTAGAGGTGATCCTGGCAATTACAGACCGGTAAGTCTAACATCAGTACCAGCAAATTAGTTGAAACAATAGTAAAGAATAAAATTGTCAGACACATAGAAGAACATAAATTGTTACGCAAAAGTCAACATTGTTTCTGTAAAGGGAGATCATGTCTTACTAAGCTTTGAGTTCTTTGAGGGGGTCAACAAACATGGAAAAGGGGGCTCCAGTGGACATAGTGTACTTAAGACTTCCAGAAAGCCTTTGACAAGGTCCCTCACCAAAGGCTCTTACGTAAATTAAATTGTCATGGGATAACAGGGAAGATCCTTTCATGGATTGGGAACTGGTTAAAAGACAGGGAACAAAGGGTAGGAATAAATGGTAAATTTTCAGAATGGAGAGGGGTAACTAGTGGTGTTCCCCAAGGGTCAGTCCTAGGACCAATCCTATTCAATTTATTCATAAATGATCTGGAGAAAGGGGTAAACAGGGAGGTGGCGAAGTTTTCAGACAATACTAAACTGCTCAAGATAGTTAAGACCAAAGCAGACTGTGAAGAACTTCAAAAAGATCTCACAAAACTAAGTGATTGGGCAACAAAATGGCAAATGAAATTGAATGTGGATAAATGTAAAGTAATGCACATTGGAAAAAATAACACCACCTATACATATGATACGATGGGGGCTAATTTAGCTACAACTAATCAGGAGAAAGATCTTGGAGTCATTGTGGATAGTTCTCTGAAGATGTCCACGCAGTGGCAGTCAAAAAAGCAAACAGGATGTTAGGAATCATTAAAAAAGGGATAGAGAATAAGACTGAGAATATCTTATTGCCCTTATATAAATCCATGGTACACCCACATCTTGAATACTGCGTACAGATGTGGTCCCCTCATCTCAAAAAAAGATATACTGGCATTAGAAAAGGTTCAGAAAAGGGCAATTAAAACTATTAGGGGTTTGGCTAGGACTTTTCAGCTTTGAAAAGAAGGGACTAAGGTGGGATATGATAGAGATATAAAATCATGAGTGGTGTGGAGAAAGTGAACAATAAGAACTAGGGGCCACCAAATGAAATTAATGGGTAGCAGGTTTAAAACAAAAGGAAGTTCACTCAGTGCACAGTCAACTTGTGGAACTCCCTGCCTGAGGAGGTTGTGAAGGCTAGGACTATAACAGGGTTTAAAAGAGAACTAGATAAATTCATGGAGGTTAAGTCCATTAATGGCTATTAGCCAGGATGGGTAAGGAATGGTGGCCCTAGCCTCTGTTTGTCAGAGGGTGGAGATGAATGGTGGGAGAGAGATCATTTGATCATTACCTGTTAGGTTCACTCCCTCTGGGGCACCTGGCATTGGCCACTGTCGGTAGACAGGATACTGGGCTGGATGGACCTTTGGTCTGACCCAGTATGGCCATTCTTATGTTATTGTAGAAAATTGATAAGGAAACCAATGGGCTACAGCAAGAAACTTAGGGCCAACATCCTTAAGGAATTTAAGTCTATTAAGAATAAAAAATCCTAACAATGGTACTGGTCCATTACTAGAAGGAAGTGTTACAAGTATTCAGTAAAAATATTTTTGTATTTAGGAAAAAGAACAAGTATGTGATATGATACTAATGGAGTGGAAAGAGTTTCTCAGGAGGATGTTAAACAGCAACTGCTGAAGTCAGACACTTCAAAATCAGTTGGTCCAGATAACTTGCATTCAAGAGTTTTAAAAGAGCTGATGGAGAAGATTGCTGCACCACTAATATCGACTTTTTCAATAAGTCTTCAACCAGTGGGGAAGTTCCAGAAGTCTGGAACAAAACTAAAGTTGTTCCCATTACTTAAAAAGAGGGAAAACAGGATGACCCAGGTAATTATAGTCCTGTCAGTTTAACATCAATCCCAGGGAAGACCACGGAGCAGCTGACACAGGGCTTAATAATTGATTGGCATTTTTATATTACATTTAACATGGGTTTATGGAAAATAGACAGAATCTGTCTCTTTTAGAGGAACCAAAGGTAACTGTAAAGGTAACTGATGTAATATATTTAGACTTCTCTAAGGCAGTTGACTTAGTACCATGAGACATTTTGATTAAACTACCATGATATAACATTAACATGGCACATATTAAAACTGGCATCAGTGTAACTGTCAATGGGGAATCATCACTGAACAGCCCTGGTTCTAGTGAGGTTCCAAAGGGATCAGTTTTTGGCCCTATGTTATTTGATAAAAAATGTGGATCACCTATAAAAAAAATCCCTGAAAATTTGCAAATGACACAAAAGTTGTAAATAATGAAGAGTACAGATCACAGACATAGCAATCTCAATTACTCAGTAAGATGGGTACACTTACATGTTTTAATATGGCTAAATCTAAATATACATCTCCAAAGAATGAATGCTATACTTACAGGCTGGGGGACTCTAGCCTGGGAAGTAATGTCTCTGAAAAAGATTTGGGGGTTGTGGTGGATAATCAGCTGAAAATGAGATTCCAGTATGACACTGGCCACCAGACTAATGCCACCCCATGGCACATAAACAGAGGAATCTCAAGAGCTGAAAGGTTATTTTATCTCTAGTTGGCACTGGGGCAACTGCTGTTGGAGTACTGTGTCCAGGTCTGGTGTCCACTATTCAAGAAGAATTTGGAAAATTGAAGATGTTTCAGAGAAGAGCTACAAGAATGATGAAATGATTAGAAAACATGCCTTATAGTGAAACTCAGAGCAGTAGTTTAAAGAGAACGTTAAAGGATGACGGTCTGGGTTACAGTAGTTGCAGTTGAACAGCAAAATCCTTTATCAACTCCGATTGCAGGCTTAATCGCCATGGAACTGGAGGCTGATAAGCCTCTTTTAGAATCACTCAGTACAGTCTGCCTGACAGCTGGAAAGAAGTGAATTAGCAAACTGATTGCAAAGCTTTATTTTAAGACAAAGTATCTGCCCTCCAGAAGCTCCGAGTTCCCACAATGGGGACAAGTAGCAGCACGTAAATGAAAAATCTAGCTCTACCTCTCCTATAAATTAAGTATAGGAAATGAAACTTAAGCAAGAACTATAAATATGCGAGTACCATTTCCCCATAACTCTCAGGCAAGTCCAAAGTTTTCTAAAGAGGCAGGCCCCAATTGGTGCCCCATTCTCCAACTCCCCTCTTCCCACAAGGGGATTGCTTCTTCGGCCACCTGTCAGGATTAAGTCAGTCATTTGCCTCTATTTTAGCTACTACATAGGCACTAGACAGGAAAAATGTAAAAAGGAAATGGACAGGAGCACAGTAACTTCTTTTTCAAATTGATTATCCCCTACATATAAATACCTAGATCTCATAGTTCTTATCAGTAGATCTTACAGCATCTTACAAAAGAAATACTATTACGCCCACTCTACAGATGGTGAAACTGAGTGAGCTTGCCTGATGTCAATTTTTTATGCAGGGCATCTACCAGTTGTTTAAAAACAAAACACTTCTATAAAGCTCAACATTAATCCAGCAACTAATGTAGCAGTTACAAAATCCATGCTGCTTGGCTACCTCCGTTGTTTAGTCACTTGCTGCATAACACCGAGTTGTACTGTTTACTTACCTGAAGGTTCTTAGAGCAGAGATTATGTCTTGTACATTCTGCAATGGTCAGGCGCACTGTTGGTTCTCAAAATGTTCATAGCACAGGACAGATATTCCATTAAAGCTGAATTTTGAA